TTCAGATCTGACCTCTGGGACACTTACTAGCTGAGTGACCTTGGGCAAGTGACTTAGTTCTGTTTGCCTCAGTTTCCTCCTCTGTCAAATGTGCCGGAGAACGAAATGACAAAGCACTCCAGTGTCTTTGCCAAGAAAGCCCCAAATGGGGTCTCGAAGAGTCTACTGAAGAACAATGGGGATGATCAGGAGAAATTTGGCAGGAAATGTTCTTCAGCTCCCCGGGCCTATTTCTGCATCTGCAAAGTAAGCAGCTTTTCAAAGGGAAATCTTTGTCGGTCCCAGCCTGATCGGGCGCCTCCTGATCCACTAATTCCCGGGCCGGCGCCCCTCCTTTCTGCACCTCTGTTTCCTCCTCTGCCAAATGGGGACAGGGTCATGGGGGTGGGGGGAGACGGGGCTCCACGCTGCATCTCCCCCCGGTGGAGGGCACAGAAGGACCCTGGGAAGGCCGGGGCAAGCCCCAGGCCCCCGCCCTTCCCCCAGCCCGCGCTCTCCCGGAGCCCGGGGGAGCTCGGGCCGAGAGTCCGATAGGGGGAGGGGAGGCCCAGGCTAGCTCCTTGGAACTACATTGCCCAGGCTGCCCGCTCCCCGGGTCGCGCAGCCATCTTGGGGGCCCCCGCCCCCCCATCTCCCCCCCAAGTCTGGCCGAAGCGGAGTCTGCCGCCCCCCTCCTCGCTAGTTCAGAGACAACGCAGCGGGGGTGGGAGGCGCGGAAGCCCCCGCCCCCAGGGGCCCCCTCCCCCGGACCACGCCCCGTCGGGGACTCCCCCAGCCCGAGGCCAGGCGCGCCGGGTTCCCGGGCGGGGGGTGGGGCGGGCCCGGGTCCGAGCGCGGGGGCCGGCCCGGGCTGGGGAGGGGGCGGCCCGCAGCGAGGCGGGCCCTTTAAGGGGGTGTGGTCGGGGGAGGGGGAGCCAGCGAGACACAGAGGCGGCGGCAGCGGCGGCTCCGGAGGCTCCGGCGGCGGCTCCGGCTCGCGCGGCGGGGACAAAGGGCGGCGGCGGGGCGGGCCGGGGCGGGGCGCGGCGGAGCGCGGCGGGGGGCAGCGGCCCCGGGCGCAGTCCGGCGGTCCGTCTGTCCGTCCGTCCGCCCGCGGGCGCCCCGCGCGTGCGTGCACGTGGCCCGGCGTCCTCGGCCTCGGCCCGGCCGCGGATGGCGGACAGTGGCCCGGCGGGTGGCGCGGCGGTGGCGGCCCCCGGGGGGGCCGGCCCCGGCCCCCGCGTCTACTTCCAGAGCCCCCCGGGTGCGGCGGGCGAGGGCGCGGCCGGGGCGGAGGACGAGGGCCCGGTGCGGCGCCAGGGCAAGGTCACGGTCAAGTATGACCGCAAGGAGCTGCGGAAGCGGCTCAACCTGGAGGAGTGGATCTTGGAGCAGCTCACCGGCCTGTACGACTGCCAGGTGCGGGGGCCCCCGCCCTCCCGAGACCCCCCCCTCCCGAAGACCCCCGATCCTGAGCCCCCTCTCCTCGGACCCTGTCCTCCCGAGACCCACTTGAGCCCCCACCTCGGACTCTGTCCTCTATAGACCCTGCCCCCCAGGTCCTGAGCCTCCTCTCCTCGGACTCCGTCCTTCCGAGATCCGCCTTCCCCGGACCCTGCCGCCTGAGCCCCCCCCTCGAGACCCAGCCCTCCCGAGATCCGCCTTCCCCGGACCCTGCCCGCCTGAGCCCCCCCCCTCGAGACCCAGCCCTCCCGAGATCCGCCTTCCCCGGACCCTGCCCGCCTGAGCCCCCCCCCTCGAGACCCAGCCCCCCGAGACACCCCCTGCCCCGAGACCCCCGGTCCTGAGCCCCTCTCTTCGGACCCTGTCCTCCCGAGACCCCCCTCCCTCGTAGACCCTGCCCTGCTTATACCTCCCCCCAACTCTGCCTTCCTGAGCCCTCCCCCATCTTCCCTCGCTGGTGCTGGACCCTGCCCTCCCAAGCAGCTTAGAACCCACCCCCCACCCCATCCTGGGCGTCCTCAGATGCACCCCCCTTCCCAGCTCAGGACCCGCCCCGCCCCACTTTGCCGGGGACTCCTTGTACCCCACTTCGGTAGGGCCAGCTCCTCCCCTTCCCCTCGTGGGGCACCCGGCTTCCTAATCGGGTGGGGTGGGGCTGTTAAGCCCCCATGCCCTCTTTCTTGCTCAGCTCCGGCTGAGCCCCCTCAGTGTTCTGAGGCTGAAAAGAAGGGCTTCAGCCCTTATTTGCTCCCTTATCGATAATCTCTGAGCTTCCTGATGCCGCCATTGAAGGGGCTGCAGGGAGAGGCCGTGGTCGGGGAGGGGGGCTGCTGTGAGGACCCAGCCATTGTCTCTTCCCTCCCCCTGCCCGCATGACTCTTGGGTTGCTCATTGGGATGAGTCAGGGACCCAAGGGTGCGGTGCGGTGGGGTGGAGGTAATGATGGGGCCCTGGCCCTGGAATGCAGCTGCTTCTGGAAGGGGTGTCTGGCAACGCCTTTGGGGGCTCCTTCCCTCCCTCTCTCCCAGAGCACTCCATTGTGCCTCTTTCGAAGGGTCCCGGGTTTCTGCAGTTCTGACCTCTGACCCCTCCCACTCCTCACTTCCTCCTCCTCCTCCTCCTCTCTCCCCTCTGCAACTGCTGCTTCCCAGGGAGGGGGCTGGGATGAGGCGAACTTCCCCCCCCCCCTTGCTAGGCAGGAAGCTCATGGCAGGTGTTTGGGGGGAAGAGGGGAGGGAGCAGTAGCCGAGGAGCAGAGGCAGCTGGCACCACCTGTGCCCGAGGGGAGAATGGCCCTTGTCAGGAGGAGCCCATCTCTGGGCACCACCCCCCAGCCTTCTTCCTTCTTTTCTGCCCACACTTTGGGGTTCCCCTGGCACTGGCCTGCTGGCAGGATGCTGCTGTGATTCTCCTCTGGCTGTTTGTCCCCCCCTCAGTGTGGTCTCCACCGTTTCACTGGTTTCTTTATCCCTGCAGCTGCTGCCCTCCACCTTCCAAAAAGGGGCTGGGACAGTGAGGGGGAAGGACCAAGCTGCTCTTTGGGCAGAGATGTCTCGGTCTGTCTCCTGACTCAGTCCCTTCTCTCTCCCAGGAAGAAGAAATCCCTGAGCTGGAGATAGATGTAGATGAGCTTTTGGACATGGAGAGTGACAGCACCCGGGCCGCCAGAGTCAAGGTGGGCTGGGGGTGGGGGAATTGGGGGAGGGGGATGCTTCTCAGGGCTCTGTGTGGTACATCTAGAGGTCTGCCCCCTCTCTCCTGGGCCAGAGCCCACTCTGGATAGAGCCCCGGCCCTGGAGTCAGGAGGACCTATGTTCAAATCCAGCCTCCGACACTTGACACACTTACTAGCTGTGTGACCCTGGGCAAGTCATTTGCTCAGATTGTCTCACCAAGAAACAAACAAACAAACAAAAACTGTGCAGAGTTTTATGTCTTCAGCTGCAGATTCAGGGCTTGGACTTTGAGGTCACCCAAGCTCCCTGGCAGCTCTGAACCTTGTTTGGGCTCATGGAGGGGTGTCCGGTATGGCGAGTCAGCCTGGGCTTAACTGGTGTGACTCTCTTTCCCATAGGAGCTGCTGGTCGACTGTTACAAACCCACCGAGGTAAGAGCCTGTGTGTGTTGGGTGGGGGAGCAGTTCCCCATCCACAGGCCTCTCTCCCCCATCGTTGGGACAGTGTGCTCTAGTGGAAAGAGCATGCTTTTGACTTCACAGTCAGAACACCTGGGTCCAGGTCCCAGGTCCCCTCTAGCTCTTGAATCTCCCCTAAGGTCTAGACCTCCTGCAACCCAACTCAGCTTCCCCCCCTCTCTCTCACCAGGCCTTCATCTCTGACCTGCTGGACAAGATTCGAGGGATGCAAAAGCTGAGCACACCCCAGAAGAAGTGAGGCCCCACCCCCCACCTTAACCCCTTGACCGGGGCGAGAGGTGGGGGCTACCCACCAGGACAATCGCTGCCCACCCTACTCCCCCTGACCTCGTAGCAACAGCAATACTTGAGGGGGGGGCCCTGCTGCCTGGGCCTGGTGCCCCCCAGAGGGCCCCTCAAGCCCCTGCTTGGGGGCCTTTCTCCCTGCTCCCCCCTGAGTTTCCGTTTGGGGTTTTTTATTGTTATTAAGCTGAGGGACTTTTTGTGTTTTTATATTGACAGCCGTACAGACCCTTGAATAAAGCCAGGGCCTGCCTTTTGTGCATTCTTAGCCTGGTCTGTGTGCTTAAGGGTAGGATTCAGCACCTCCTCCACGCTGGGCACCCACAAAATGGCCCAGAGAGGGAGGAATGACAGCCGCATTGGAGCAGAGGGGTCCTCCCAGCCTTGACCCCCGGAGGCCTCCAGCCTTCCCCTCAGGCCTCTGTTGCTGGGGTGACAACCCAGAGCTCCATCCCCAGACTGGAGATGGGAAGGCGGGAGGGAGGGGTGGTTAGTGATGCTGATGTCAGCTAGAAGGCATGTGCCCCCTTTCCGGCCTGGGCTCAGCCATGTGGGCACCGTGCCAACCCCTGCCACCCACTTAGGGCAGAAGGAATCAACTAGGACTTTCTCTGCTTTTCTTGGCATGCCCCAAGGCTGGCTTATGCCCTCTAGACCCTGACTGCCTTTGCCCCCTTGCCCACCCCACCCAGCCTAGGCCTTTCAGGTTTGCCAGTTTCCTTGGCCTCCCACCCAGCACTTCTGCCCAAGCCCCCTGGGGAGGGGGGAACCTGAAGGCTGGGTTTCCAGTGCCCCCGTGTGGTACAATGCGGTATTGCAACCTAGGAAAGGCAGCCTGGGTGAGAAGGCCTCTGAGGTGTCTGAGGCCAATGCCTTCATTTTCCAGTTGAAATAAAGACACAGAGGTATGAAGAGGTTGCCCAGGATGGAGCAGCAGCAGCAGCTGTCCTAGGGGAGAGGCATGTGGGGTGGCAGACCCTGCCCAGGAGTGGGGACTGAAACTGTCCCTTTCAGGGTGGGGCTGTCAACTGAGCCTCCCCCGTCTTCCAGGACACACACACCACAATCCCTTTGGCTTTTTATTTCACTTTTTTTAAACAAAGTCTAGTCCCCTGAGAGAAGGACTTCCCTCCCTCCCTCCCAATTCCCCTCCCCAACCCCTCTGCTAGAGTTCAGGTCTCCGCTCAATCTTCAGCAGTTCCACCTCAAACACTAATGTGGCTCTACCTGGGAGGGCAGGAAGAACAGGAAGAAGGCTTCAGAGCATGGAGGAGGCCAGAAACAGGCCTCCCTCCAGACTCAAAATTGGGGGGCCAACAAGAAGGTTAGATTACCTGGAATCTTCGGGGGAGCTCCTCGATCCCCATATCCTGTGGGGAGAAGGGAGAGGGGCATGAATGAGGAGCTTTTTAGCCTAGGGCTTCCCTTTCCTCCTCACCCTGGGGGACACTCCATTAGCCTGCTCCCTCATCAGGCCCCGAGGTAGAAATTAGATAGGGTTCCTGAAGACAAACTAGGCTAAAAGTCAGTGCCTCTATGGGGGAGGGGCTGATCCTCCCCCCTTCCTGAGCTAAGTCCTCAGGCTAAGGCTCCCGATGGCCCCTCATAACTGGACCTCAGGTCCTCTAAGACCCAAGGACAGCTTTCAGTGACTAGACAACAGGCTGCAAGGGGGGGCCCAAAGGCAGCCAGAGCCAGGCAGCATGGGCAGGGGGGGGGACCTGACCATATCCTCTCCTTTGCCCTTCAGTCCCACCCTCAATGGAGCTGGCAGGGCCGACTGTGTGCCAACCCTCTTTAGAATTCCACAAGGGGCAGAGGCAAGACATGTGACTTTGAGAAGGACCTTCCCAGCCAGAAGCCCTGGGGAGAAGGGTCAGCGGCTTGGGCGGGGGGAGATGAGAAGACAAGAGCCCCCAGAAGCACTGCCTCAGCAGGCAGGATGGCACCTCAGGCAGTGATGGGGATCTCAAGGTCAGCAGTGCAGCCAGCCAAGTGTCCAGTCAAGCAGTGTGTGGGGCCAGCCCTGCAAGCCCACCTTTCTAGGCAGGTTAGGGGCCAGGCCTGTGGACAGCAGGCCACACAACAAGACTGCAGTCCAGTCCAGACCCCAAAGCCCCGGTCTCTTACCCAGCTCTGAAGGGATCACCAGCTTCCGCTTCTCCCCCTCACACATCCTGCAGGGAGGAGAACATAGCCCGGAGCAGCCCTGGCAGTCAGATTGCTAGGCCCACCCTCCTAGACTCCCACCCCCCTCACACTTACCCAAGGAGCCCCTGGTCCCAGCCCTTGATGACCTGGCCTGTCCCCAAGGAGAAGACAAAGGGCTGGTCCCGGTGCAGACTGCTATCAAACTCAGTGCCGTCCTCCAGCCTCCCCTGCAGAGGAAGAGGGGGAGGTTAAGGAGGCCAGAGGAGGGCTCCAACTCAGGGTCATACAATCTAAGGTGACCTAGTCCGACCTGAGCAGGAGCCCTGCCTGGGCTCCATCCAGGGGTCCCTCCCCCCCCCCCTCCATGGAGCCCCAGCCAAGCCTGCTCACTGTGTAATGGATGTGGAGCACATCGCCCTTGCGGGACTTGAGGGGGCAGTGGTCCACCCGCTTTTTTACTCCGATCTGGAGCTTTCGCTTCCCCTCCCCTGCCCTGGTGGGCAGGACACCCAGGCAGAGGGACAGGAAGACCAGAAGCCAGCTCAGCTGCATGACCCTGTGGGCACAAAGCCACCCCCCCAAAGCAGGGGAGGACAGAAGAGGTGGTCACTTGGAGGTGGGGGACTTCACCCCCAAAGCCCCACAGGATCCCAGGCAAAGGGTAAAGACCAGCCAGGCGCCCACCACCCTTGCAGCAGAGCGTGCCCACCCCTCCATCAGTGAGTTATCCCCCAGGGATCCCCCCACCCCCCACCAGGCTTCGGCAGCCACACTTACCTGTCCATGGCAAAGGGGGCTTGACCTCTGAGCCCAGCAGCGGCGGGGGGAGGGGACGAGGGGAAGACACAGCAGCCGGGGGTCCTGCCCCAAAGCTGTCGACACGTATCCCACCCCCCAATCCCGCTCATTCCCTGCCCTGATCCCCTGCCCTTCAATCTCCTCCTGTGCCCTTGGTGGCCTCTCCCTTCCGCAAGGTCCAGACCCTCTCTGGCTGCCCCTCTGCAGACCCCACAGGCACCCCCCACTCCCGCCACACCCAAGTCCCTCCAGCCCAGCATACCCACACCTCTCCAACGGATGGGGGGCGCCCCCTGGGGACCCACACGTCTCCCGAGGGCTCTGGAGAGCCCCTGTCTGCGGAAGTGACCCCCCAGGCCTGCCCCCCTCCACCCCCAGGGGCGCCTCCCCAGCTCTGAGCCCGCGGAGGCCTGCGGGGCACCCACACGGGGCCCGGGTCTGGCGTCCGCTGCTCCCTTTCTACCCACACCACCTCTCCTGGGGGGGTCCGGGGCCGACTTCGGCCCCAGGCCCGCCCTCCTCGGAGGCCTGCCCGGCTCCCCGCCCCAGGGTTATCCCCCCGGCCCGCAGGCGGCCGGGGTGCGTGGACCCCGCCCTTCAGGGGCTCTGCCCCAGGGCCCGATGCCCCGCCCACCTCCGCGCTAGAGTCCGCCCCCTGGCCTATGGCTGCGCGTCTCCGCGAGGCCGGCCCCGCCCCCAAGCCAAAGGCCCCGCCCTCTCTCACGACCCCGCCCCCTGTGGGTCCCGGCCCCGCCCCCGGAGCGCCTAGGTCCCTTAGCCCGGGCCCCGGCCCCTGACTGGGGGCCCCACCTCCTCCTCGATCAGCCCCCTCCCCTTGGCTTGGGGCCCCGCCCCCTGTCGAATAAGACTCCGCCCCCTGCGGCATCACCGGGCCGGCAATGTCCCCGGGCCCCTCTCCCTGCTGCCCTTGTCCCTCGGCGACCCCCCCCGGGCCCCGGCCCCGTCCCCGTCCCCGTCCCCGCCCCGGGCTGCGGCCCCCCGCTCACCTCCTCACCGCGCCCCCGGAATCCAGACCAGCGCCGCCGCCGCCGCCAACACTGCGCACGCGCCGCCACTACGCCTTGGCCGGGGCCACGCCGCCCCCTGTCGTTGGTCAGAGAGCCACATAGTCCCTCCTCCAGAGCCGCCCCTGTCACGTGATGCTGTGGGGGTCGGTCTGGTAGTGAAACTTGCGGTTCCGAGCCGGACGTGATGTCACTTCCTCTTTCTCCTCTCCGCAACGCCGCTGACCTAGCGCCGGCTTCCCCGTCTTAGGGTTAAGAGCGACTTCCGACCGGGCCACCCCTGCTTCCGGCCGGACGCAGTGCGGGTTGTGCCGGCTCCCGCTGCCTCAAGGGCTTCGGCGCCATTTTGCCCTCACCCCTTCCCCCACTCCTCGCGGGCCCTGCCTCAGTTTCCCCTCCTGGCTCAAAGGCTAGTCCCCTGCCGCGGAGCCTTCGCCTGTTCCTGTGCAGGAGTGGGGCCCCTGGTTTGGAGCCTAGGCCTTGGGGACCATGCGACCCTAGGTGACCCACGTGCCGTCCGTGTGCCTCAGTTTCTCCATCTGGATGATAGGCACGAAGCCTAGCTTCCGTGCATGTGCAGGGAGCCTCATCTGGCGGAGCCCCTCCCTCCCCGAATAGGACTCCTTGCCTCAACCTGCAGGATAAGGGTGTCCATTCCCAGCTTGACCATCTTAAATGAAAGGGGGCTGGACACCTCCCTTCCCCCTTCCCCCAGGCGGTCAGTTTGCCCTTGTCCCAGGATCCTAGATCTAGGGCTTGAGGGAAGGGCCTCAAAGCCCAGGAGGCCAGCCCCCTGGGGTCCCAGCATCCCTGGGTGCTGGCCTGGCTCTGCCCCAGCTGGAAGACAGGTAGAAGGCAGTGGCCTATCCTGAGATGTTAGCCTCCAGGCAGGAGCCAGGAAACAGGTCCTCTTGGCTGCCACAGTTAGGAATGAGGTTGGCAGGGCAGAGCCTCAAAAGTCTGCCTTCCCACAGCATAAGCATCAGGGCCACAGGAGGACAGAGTGTCCAAGGCTTGAACCCTACTGGATCCTAAGATTTAAGGATTTTCAGATTTCCAGTACAGGAAATGGAAGCAGGCCCAAGAGAGAAGAGAACCTGCCCAGGGTCAACGAAGAGCCACATTTGGGGAGCGGGTAAAGGGAAGGGGGCTCTCCTTTGAAAATGTTCTTTTTTTAGAGATGTGCTTTCATCCTTCTGATTCAGGGAGAGTCCAGACTCAAGACCTAGATTGGAAAAATCCTGGCTCTGCCATTAATTAACTCCTGGAACTCATTTTCCCTGGGAGGTCTGTTTCCTGTTAAGTTATAGGATTGCCTTGAGGACTTAGAAATAAATAAGCCACAGTCTAACCAATTCCTGTTACAAATGAGAAATGACTTCTCTCCTCCAGAGGAGGTGGGTGACTTGCCCAAGCCATCAGGTCCTTAAGACTCCAGACCCAGTGCTTGTTCTGGGTGGCTTCCTTGGTCACAGGAAGCCCAACAAGGTCCATTCTGGCTCTGAAGTTCAGCGACTCTAGCGCTGGCCTGCTTAGACCCGGCTCTTTAGCTCATCACGCCTGGCTAGGGCCTTGGGAGGAGCCCACTGGGCCCCTTGCCCTTCCCACTGTAGAGAATGACGAACTACTAGGTGGGGGTGTGGGAATGTCTGGTTGGAGAGGAATCGGGTGCCAGTGAGTGAGCAGCCTGTTTATACCACAGGCCCTGCCCAGAGGCTGTAGGGGAGAGGAAGAAGGAGAGGGTGAAAGGAGAGGACGGAGGTAACAAGGAAAAGGAGCAACCATGAGGCCCTCCATGGTTTGGCGCCCACCTGCCTACCTCCATCCTAGGTCCTGCCTCCTACCTATCGTGTTCTAGTCAGAACGTGAAATTCCATCTTCTGCCCATGTTTATTTGCCCCAGGCAGTCTGTGTCTGGAATGTGCTCCCACTTCCCCTGGGAGCTAGAGTTGAATACCCCTCACTAGCTGGCTACATTACCTACTGTGAATGAGTCCTTTCCAGCTTCTGGGTCTCATTTCCTCCTCTCTTAGAGACCCAGTGGGGGTCTCTAAGGGCCTTTTCCACTGCTAGAGGTTGGCTTGGCAGGGAGTATGAGGCAGGTGTAAAGTTTTTGGCCTGTTTCATTTCTGTCAGGGTATGGGAAGAATTCACTAACAAAAACATCCCATTTCTGGTGTTCCACCTTGAGGCACAGGTGAGATCCCTTCCTGGATTTGGGCCCCCACCCCCACCCCATGCCTCCCACAGTGCACCATGGAGTAGGCTTGGCACAGTTCCATGTAATGATGCATCTCTGCATAGAGAGGAGTCTAGGTCACAGCTTTTTTCATCTTTTTTAAGAGGTCTGGGGGTCACACCGTCTGTGTACCAAAGCCAAGAACATTCTTGGTGGCTCTGGAATTTCCCCACCTTTCTTCATCCCATTGTCAATTGGTAGGGGAAGGCAGTGAGGAATTCAGTGACAAGGTGCTTGTCTGGGCAGGGGAGGGCATTAAATAAAGAGAGTCAAATCCCTTTTACCCCAAACCAGTGACCTCCCCTGCCCTGCCCTTCCGTTCCCCTTCAAGCATAGCAGCTTAGGGTGATAGGTCACTCCAAGAGGTCTGGACTTCTTTGTAGCAGCAGCAGTCATTGGTGTGATGTCCCAGCAGGGCTCCCCATCCCATCATGGGGTCAGGGCCAAGGAAGGGATGTCCCATTGGAATCCAGGAAGGGCCATGTCACCTTCGAAGCTTCTTGCACCTGAGGCAGGGCAAGAAGGTCAAGCTCGGACACACAAACAAAGCCATAAACCAGAGACAGCCCAAATGAGCCCATCAAAAGAAAAGCCCCCTGGGCTCCCGACCCAGCTGGGTAAACTGGCTGGCCACAAAGATTATTTTGTCTTTGTATGTGTAGCCTCAAACACAGAGATGGCTTAATAAGTGCTTGTTAAAGGGGACTGGAATCAGCTTAATGATGCGATTATCCAGAATCTTTTTTTTTTTTTTAAGGCAATTGGGGTTAAGTGACTTGCCCAGGGTCACACAGCTAGTAAGTGTCAAGTGTTTGGTCTGAGGTCGGATTTGAACTCAGGTCCTCCCGACTTCAGGGCTGGTGCTCTATCCACTGCGCCACCTAGCTGCCCTGATTGTCCAAAATCTTGGAAGAGTAAGTGGGGAGTGTGTGTGTGTGTGGGGGGGGGGGTACCTATGTCCCCATACTAGAGAGGATGATAGAAAGGAATTGGGTCAGGGCTGGGAGGACTTTTAGAACAGGGAATGGCAGAACTGGAGGGGACAGTAGAGAGCTTGTTCAACTCATTTCCCAGATGGGATAACTGAGACCTACAAAAGACAAGTGACCCCACAGCCTTATCCTAAGCTCCTCTTTTCATTTCAGTGACTTGGCTGTTGGCAATGATAACAACCTGGCTACTTGTCACCCATATTAGATGAACCCTAAGATTCCTTTATACTCTGAATCCTTTGAACTCTGGTTTACAAAGTTCAGGGTACCTTGCCCCTTAATTTCCATCCCTTCTGCTCTGACTCACATATACCCAAGGATTGGCCCAGAAGTCCTCAGACCCTCCTTCCAGCCCTGAGTTTGTGGGTGTAGGGTTCGGCCCGTTTGTAGGAATAAGCTAGTGCCTGTTTCTGCTCTTCACCAGCCTTGCCCATTCTTTTCCTTGGCCTCTTCCTCCCTCTCTGACCTGGTCCCATTCTACCCACCTGCAGGTATCTGGGTTGAATTCTAGGCCCCGCCCTTGGCAGCGCAATAAACTTCGGCGTCTGCAGTGACAGGTGCAGGTTCGAGGATCGGGGCGCTGTCGTCTCTGGGCACATCTGGGACACTGGGGCCTGGGGCTGGCATCAACAAAAGGAAGCAGTCCAGTGCTTAGCCTGAGGCCAAGGAGTAGGAGGTATAGGAGGAGGGAGGCAAGGGCAGGAAGGCCAGACTTCCCAAGTCCTGAGGCAGGAACAGGGTCAGAGCAAAGGGGATCTCTAGGGACCCAGGGAGATGGTGCTGAAGCCGTATAAGGCACTTCCTTAAGTCAAGAGAATTTATTATTTTTTTTTTAAGCAATTGGGGTTAAGTGACTTGCCCAGGGTCACGGAGCTAGTAAGCGTCAAGTGTTTGGTCTGCGGGTGAATTTGAACTCGGGTCCTCCTGACTTCTAGGCCGGTGCTCTATCCACTGCGCCACCGAGCTGCCCACTCATATAAGGCCCTTCCAATGACAGCTTCCTGACCCATGATGTCACACAGTGCATATGATGTGTCTGTAGCCCACACCGTACCCCACGAAGGCCCTGTTCAGAAGCTAGTGCCCAAAGAGGGGGGAAACCAGCAATGAGCTCACCTGACTGGCTTCACGAAAGTGTCCTTTTTTGGTCTGAAAAGTCAAAAGGGAGAGAGAGGATCTAGGCCCTTGACCCATGTCATGCTTTCCCTCAGCCCCACTCCCAGCCTTAGCCTTCTGCCCCTCCCTACCTGCATTCGCATTGGCTGTGCTCCACGAGGGACATCTCCCCTAGGCGACTGCTCGGGTACCTGATCACCAGGATCTGTCCTCAGAATGAAGGTTTGGGAGACAGAGAGAGAGAGAGAGAGAGAGAGAGAGAGAGAGAGAGAGAGAGAGAGAGAGAGAGAGAGAGAGAGAGAGCTGTGGGTGGGGGAGGGGGGATCCCAGGGACAAACTCCAAAGACGTGGGACTTCAGCTTTGGAAGGGATCTCCAGTTATTTTACAGACGAGGAGACGGCCCCCGGGTAACCTGTCCCGGTCACACAAGTGATGTGAACGGCGGAGGCAGGATTGAAGCTCGAGGTGGTTGATTCCAAAGCTGGGCTCTTTTCACTATGCTAGTGAGCCTTGAGGAGGTCTAGGCCAGCAGAATGCAGTCAGGACCTAGCGACCGCTCTGAGCTTCCAGCAATGCTACCGTCTAGAGGGTGACGTTGCCCATGGAATGGCCAGATGCTTTCTCCGACAGGGTCCCCACTGCTCCCTCCCCACACCACACCAGTACCTGCATTTGGACATGGCGCTGGCTAGTAGGCACACACTCCAGAGCGTCATCATGGCAGCAGCCTCCGCATCGCTGCAAGGTCACGCAGCTAGGCACCAGCCGGTGGGCAACCTCGCCCGGGAACTCCAGGCTCAAGGGCACCAGCACCTCCCGGGGCTGGCAGGAGGCTCGGCTGAACACCTCCAGCCAGGGAACCACTGAGGAGAGGAGAACTCCCTTTTCCTAAGCACTCTTCCAAAATGCCTCTCTTCCTCCTCCCAGGACTTGGCCCGCGCTTCTTTTTACCCTTCCCAACACCCAGAATAGATGCAATTATCTCAGCTCCAGCCCTCCCTTCTAGACCTCAGATCCTGGAACTGAGCTTTCTTGTCAAAGACTCCCTCCTAAGCTTCATCCTCTTACCTTTCTGTTGGTGGTGGAGCCCCTCGGGTGGGGAGCTGGAAGTCTGTAGGGGAAACAAGACCTTATGCTTCCATAATGGAACATGGGAACAGGGGTGGGGGGCCACCTATAGACCAGTCCTAGAACCCTGCCACTTCCTGAGGAGAGCCTCACTGTCTCCTAGGGCCTCACCCCTTTTCCAGAAAAAAAAGCAGATGTCATTTCTGTGACTCCTTCCCTGACCACCCTACCATAGTCACCTTTCCCTAACATCTCAGAAGAAATGCAAGCCACTTTGAGCATTGTAAGTTATCTTTGTATGTGGATCAAATTCAATTAAATGACTATGATATAAAGAAAGCAATGCTGCTTCATTTGGAGGTCAGAAGGCCTGGGTCCAAATCCCAGCTGCATCTCTTGCTCCTGGTGTGACAGTTGTGGCCCTCAGTATCCACATCTGAAAGGAAGGAGTTGGACATGACAACCTCTAAGCAGTGTTCCAGTGCTAAATTCAGACTCCTTCCAGCTGTTAATGAATCGCCACAGGCAAAGCCCTGAGGTGAGTTTTCAGAGAAACCACACTGTAGACATGGAAACCCTGTTGTCCAGAAACTTAGCATCTACTGGGAGCTACTAGGGTCCTTGGAGAACTTGTAGTCAAATGCTCTTAGTTTACGGGGGTGGACACTGGCGCAGAGAGAACTGACTAGTCCAAGGTCACATAGGCAGCAAGTAGGCAACTGTTTCATTTCTCACCTCACCCCACCCCACCCCACCCCCTTGCCTAGCCAGGTCAATGGTAGGTGATAGGGAAAAGCTCCTTGAATTCCACTGAAATAGGGCTAGACTCTGAGCCTGCCTCCTGGTTCCAAACCCAGGGTTCTACTCTCGGTAGGAGGTGCTTCTTGGCCAATACCGATGGGTGCCCTCCCCATCCTGGAGGGCACTGTCTCCCCAGGGTCGCCCCCCAGTCAATATTTGCCTTGAAGCATCGATCAATACATCAGCCCGGCTCCGTGTTCTTCGGCGGCCCCTCACCCGTGGGCCCCGTGCCCTCTGGCCGTTGTTGTCCAGCCAGCCAGGGTCAGGGAGGGGCACGGCTGGCAAGAGGCCGGATCCTACCAGAAAGGAGAACGTGGTTCCCGCCCCGGGGCTAGTCCAGAGAAGAGGATGCAAGGGGGAAGGGACCAGAGGGGAGACAACCCTCCCCCCTCCTCCCAGCCAAGGCTGGCGGTGCCGGCAGGGGCGCCTGTCCCCCGCCGATGCCCTCCGCCGTCCCGGGCACACGAGGGCTGGCTCTTGCGTGATGGATGCCCAGGGCAGCCCGGCGCTGGCACTGGCCCGGACCCACCCCACGAGGGGCCTCAGCCCGCGCCGTGGCCCCCACTTCCTTCCGCCAACCTTGGGAAAGGGCAGCGGGGGCGCGGGCGCACCTACCTGCGCCGAGGCTCCGGGGGGCAGCGGCGGCAGCAGCAGCAGCAGGGCGGCCAGTAGGAGGGGGCTCATGGTGCCCGCTGGGCTCCCGCATCGTCCTAGCCCGGGGGTGGGGGCAGGCGCGAGGGGAGCCCCATGGCGGGGCCGCGGGGCGCAAGCTGCGGCGCGGTGCCCGAGGAGGCAGCGGCGGTGGCGGCGGCGGGGACACGGGCGGCCGGGGCTGCGGGGGGCAGAGCCCGGGCAGCTCATGTGACCCAGACACGCGCTCCCCCAACCCCCGCCCGAGGGGGGAGGGGCCGGCCGCGGCCGGGAAGGGGGTAAGGGGGAGGGGGCAGCGGGGGCGGGCAGCCCGCACCCCCAGCCCGGGCCGCTCCCCCTGGGGCTGCACACGCCCCCTCCCTCCCTCCCTCCCTCCCAGTCCGCTGGCTCTGGCCGGGTGGACAGTGCTCCCTCACGCCTGCCTGGGGCTACAGCCCACGTGGGAGGGAAGAAGCCGAGAAGGCTCCGGGCCACTGCAGAGGCAGCGCCCAGAGCCGGACCCTGGCCGAAGGCAAGGCCCGCGGGAAGACCGGAGGCACGAGGGAGGAGTCAGACACCCACTGACAATGACTTTATTGACTTTATTCCACACGGGCAGCAAGGGTCCAGATGGGCACCGGGCCCCTGTCACCCCTTCAGCCCACGCAGCCCCTCCGGGGCCGGGGACCGGGGGCCGGAAAGGGAAGAGGGTCGCAGGTCATTTTTCGGGGTGCGGCTGGGGGCTCTGGGGCTTCTGCAGTCTCTCCTGCCGGAGCTTGGCGCTGTTCGCCCTGGAGGGGAAAGGCTGAGTTGACCCCAGAAGCATGGGGAGGGCCCGAGGTCAGGGAAAAGGGAGAGCCGGGCCTTAAGACTGAGAGGGAGTCCCTGGATCTGGGAATACATCGTTCCTCCCTACGTGCCTTTGCTCAGCTCTTTCCGATGCCGCAGCACCCTCCTCTAACCCCTTCCGACCTGCTCTGGGGAGCCCAAGCTCAGTGCCCTTCCCCCAGGAAGCCTGTCCCCCTCGTTCATGCCTCCCCCTACTCTGGACCTCCCGAAGCTCTTGGCTTTGCTCTTTTCTGGGTCTGGGCCATAGAATACCATTTACAAGGAGATCCATCTAAGAGGGGCAGGGGCAGGTCTGCCTTCAATTCTATATCCATCCCCACACGGCCACAGGGCACGCCCAGGGGGCGAGGCTTCCTCAAAGTCTGTGGGTGCGGATGTAGCGGGGAGTGTCTACAGCACCCAGCCCTCCCACTTTGCAGTTTTAAATGCCGGGCTCCTTGGAGGAGAAGGGGGCAGAGACCTGGCCCTGGCTCTGCTCTCATTGTAGATCGCCATGATAACTCTGTCCTTCTCATCCATAAAGCTTCGGTGGACCTGCTCCAGCTTTCTGCAGGAAGAGCAAGGTTAGGGGTCTGCCTCTCCTCCGAGGCCATCACCTCCTGAGCTCTTCCTGATCGCTGAGGGCAGGTTACCTGAAGGCAATGTAGTGTATTACCATGCCTCCCAGCATCAGTAGGAGGCAGTATCCCAGAGCGTGATGGTTCGGCCTCTGCCGAGTTCCTCCGTAGTCCTCTGGACGCACCCTGTGGAACTGGGCCCAGTATCGGGCATCGGCTGAGGACCAGGAGCTGCAAGGGAACAGGCACAGCCGAGAGAGGAAATCCTTGGGGGTTAGGAGGAGAGCCGTGGGCTGCGGTGGGTGGGAACGGCTGGGTGGCAAATGGCCAGGGAAGCAGGGGGATTACAGAAAGTGGAGGGCTGGGGGCTGGGGAGTCTGGCCTTCACCTGGAGGCAGAGGCAGAGGCAGAGCAGGGCGGTAGCTCTGGTAGGGAGACTGGGAGGTGTGACGGGGAGGTGGCATGGAGCCTCGAAGGGAGAGCCGGCTGTCATACTCCTGACGGCTGGATTCCTTGCTCAAAACCCGGTAGGCTTCATTCAACTCCACAAACTGGTTGTGCAGAGCAGGGTTCTTAGGGTCTCGGTCAGGGTGCAGCTGGGGGAGAAGGGTAATTGTGAGGGGAGTCCTCCCACCCTCTCCTGCTCCTCCCCTAAGCCTAGGCCTCCCCTGTAAGTGCTTCACAATATCTTTTCTTTCTAATCCCAGCACAAACTTGGTGCCATATTTCCGAGGCTTAGGGACTGGAATGATGCCTGTCTCCATCCATCTTTTCCCTTGTTTAAGTCTTACCCTAGCAGTCCACCTCCATGCAGCCTCCCTGGGTTCCCCCCAGGCTAGGAGTCTCTTTCCCCCCCTCCAGTGTCCCCTATTGTACACTTCTCTGCTGTGTATTACAGGAATCTGGGGACTGTAAGCTCCATGAGGGGAGGCTACTGGGCTCCCCAGCACGTGGTTCAGTAGGGGCCTAATAAATATGTGAAAGTGAACAACTGAATTTTGTAGGACAAAGGCTATGAAAGTGGCACAAAGATCACCTTCCCCCCCCAGCCTTCTGGGTGTCCCTCGCGAGGCCCCTGCACTTACTACATGCCCCAGCCTGGCTCCAACCCAAAAGGCAGGACAGGGAAGGGTATTCCAGGTTCCTCCCATCCTGTCTCTCCTTATCTTAAGTCTCCTCTGAGACCCTAGATCCCCACTGATCCTGAGGGCCAGGCTTGCCCTTGGCATGCTCTCCCACTCATCAGAGGCCCTGGGACTGATAGGAAAGGTCCTTCTCTTTGCCCAGCCTCCTCCAAAGCTCATCGTGCTTAGTAAAAGCCCTGAGTCCCCCCCCCAAGTGCCCAGGACTTCGAGCAGAGGATAACCTCTATACCCCCTGCTTCCCCAGGGCCCTCTGGAGCTAAGGTTCTTGGAATCTTTGCCCACCAAGCCTGTGACCTCTCCAAGGTCACAAAGCTTACAAGGGTCAGAACTGAGGTCTTTTGACTCCGAGCCCAAGGCTCCTTCCCCTACTCAGCACTTGGAAAGAGCTGGGGGGAGGGGGCAAGGTGAGGCAATGGGGATGGGGGTGGCAATGCCAGCCCTCAGCACCTCCCTCCTTCCCCAGATCCCCAAAGCTCCCACCAAAGTCTCCTGGCCCAGACACACCTCTTTGGATTTGGCAAAAAAAGCCCGTTTGACTTCCTTCATGCTGGCATCTGGACGGATCCCCAGAAGCTCATAATAGTTACTTTGTCTTGCCCTGCACAGAAGATGAGGGGTGGGGACTGGATAGCTCTGGGAATCCAAAAAATAACGGGATCATACCTGGTCACCTCAGAGATGGTTAGGGGCTGGGGAGACAAAAGGGCCCTGTGCAGATCAAGCCAGCCTCTCATACAAGAGACCATCACCTTTATTTTACAGATAGGGAAACTTGGAGGCCCAGAAAGGGGATGAAAGTGTCCAAGCTGGGGCTCAAACCCAGGTCCTCTGAGTCCCAAAGGTGGGGCGCTTTGTGGGGCATAGACTGTGGAAGCTGGGAGGGGCCATAGTCTCAAACAGGCCATTACCACTGAAAAGGGATGACTTGGGGACCCCCTGGTCCAACCCCCTTATGATACAAAGAGGACATGGCCCTGGGCAGCCCGTGTCTTGGACAGGACCAGAGCCAGGCCTGGGACCAGGGTCTTTCCCTCCCCTGCCCAGACTCACCTCAGGCAGACAGTAGAGCTGAGGAGCCTGGCAGAAGGAGGGCATCGGGGACACAGCTGGCAGAGCTGAGGGACCAGGCGGAGGATGGGCATTTCTGTGCCTGGAGGAAGATGGGCAGGGCACAGAAAAGTCACCCAGGCTGGTACTTGACTAGCTGATCTCTGAACTCCCTTGGGTGGACCAGGAATCTCTGACAGTGGGGATAGCCTTGGCGGGCTTCCTGAGAATGGGGATACTTGGGGGAGGGACTCTCAGTCAATAGGGAAAGGGCATTGGGAGTGGGGGGGGCTTCTGTCATTGGGGACCCTGGAAGTTTGTCTTCCACTGGGGGAAGGGAACAAAAGCATTTAGTAAGCACCTACTATGTAGGCACTTTACAAACATGATCTCATTTGATCCTCACAACAGCCTGGTGACATAGGTGCCGCTGTGATTCTCATTTTACAGTTGAGAAAACTGAGGCAGATATAGGAGAGGTGGCGTGCCTGGGCTCACACAGCTAGCAGGGGGCTGAAGCTGGACCTGGGTCCAGGCTCATCGGACTACTCACTTCACCACCTGGGGAGGACAGTAGGGGGTCTCCGACACGGGGGATGCTGGAAGATCGAACCTTCGGGACACTAAGGGGTCTGGTATTAGGGGACATTGGAGGCCACAAGGGGCTGCCAAAAGGGGACACAGGGGGTCTCTGACATTGGGGGACTGACACTGGGGTGTCCGGCGTTGGGGAGGGTCCCTCCCAGTGGTGGAGAGGCTGACAGGAGAAGGGGGTCCGTCCGTGGGTGTGCTGGCGGAGGGGAAGATTCTCACCCCCCCAGGGGAAACTGAGGCCGAGGAAGTCTCTCTCTCCCCCCGAACCTTCCCCAACCCGTGGAAGCCCCGCGTCGGGGCTCCGCAAACAAGGCCCGCGTCCCCCCGCCCCCCAATCTTGATTTCAGGGGAGGGGCCGGGGCGCGAAGCCCCGCCCCCACGCACCGCCTCTGCCCCTTCCCCGTCCCCCCGCCCCCCACGTCCGCCCTGACACTCACGGGAGCTTCGGAGCCCGACACCCCCGCCGCCATTTCCTTCTCCTGTCCGGGCCACGCCCCTCTCCCGCCTCCAGGAGCTTACAATTGGTCCACGCTGCTCCTAGTCCCGCCTACCAGTCCCACAGAAGACGGTTGACGTCGCCCCACCCACCACCCATCCTCAGCTGCTCCCATTGGCTCTAGCGCTCCTCGGCCCGCCCATCAAGCGGCGGAGGCTTAAGGAGTGGACCGACCTTAGTGGAGTCCCGCCCCCAGAGGCCCCGCCCTCGTCCCCTCCCCCCTTCTTCCTCCTCTCTTCCTTATTGCCTGCATTGAGGGTAAGGCTTTCTCAGAGCCCATCTCACCCGACCCCCTTGTTTTACAGAGGAGGGAACTGAGGCCCAAGGAGGTCACGTGTCTTCTCCAGGGTCAGAGCCCAAGATTCCATATCTGGCTGATTCCATTAAGTGCGGACCCCACTCCGTTCCCAACACACAAGTGGGGAAACTGAGGCCCAGAGCTGGGGAAAGCTGTGAACAGAGCATGTTCCTGAAGTAAATTACTTTCCTCTTTGTGCCTCAGTTTCCCTAGCCATTAAATGAAGGCATTGGATTGGATCAGGGATTCTTAACCTGGGATCTTTGAAGAGTTTTTTGTTTTTTCATAGTTTGATAACATTGCAATACAAGTTGTTTCTTATAATCCTATTCTTTTATGCATCAAAAGATTATGCTAAGGAGGGGTCCTTGGGCTTCCCCAGTTGCTCCAAGGGGTCCGGGACACGACAAAGGTGAAGAATCCCTGGGTTAGATGTTTTCAAAGTCTGATCTCACTCCTAAATTCCAGGACTGTATAGATGGGGAAGACTGAGGTCACACAGTAAGTTCATGCCTCTTTGTCCATTTGGGAAACTAAGGCACGATCCCTTATGGAGTATTCCTCAAACAAGACAGTGGACACCAGAGCTCCAAGAATAAATCCTTTATTGTCCATACAGTCCAGGGCAGAAGGGTGGAGGTGAGCTGAGAAAGGAGTGCAGGATACCAAGAGGCAGAAGCTTTCCTCAGGCCGGCCTGACCTGGACCAGGTTGTAGAGCAAAATGGCGCCCTTGGCGGAGGGACAGAGCTCGCTCCAGGCTTCAGATTCCTCCTGCAGGTGTCTGACTCTCTGTGCAGAAAGACAGACTTGGATGAGGGTTAGCCTCCTCCCTCCTGGCTACGCCAGGGTTTCCTTGTCTCTTACTTGCTTTCTTACCACTGGAAGGGACCTCAGAGGTCCTCTGTGCATCTACCCATCCTGCCTCCCTGCCCAGAATCCCCTCTCCACCATCTCTGGCAGAGAACCACCCAGCCTTTGCTTGAAGACCACCAGGGAAGGGCAGCCTACAGGCTCCTTAGGCAGTCTGGGCAGCCTTGCGCCCATCGCACCCAAGCTCTGGCCTCTGGGGCCAAGCAGAGTACCTCTCACATCTGTCGGCCTTCAAAGATGAGGGGACAGCCACCCTTGTGTCCTTCGGCCTTTCCTTCTCCAGAATAAACATTCCCATTTCCTTCTATCACTGCTGTGATGTGAACATGACCTCCTTCCCCATGTGGGCCACCCTCCTCCAGACAGGCTTCGTTTTATCAATGCCAGTCCTAAAATGCTGCACCCACGACTGAACGTGACGCCATCTTCCTTGTGTATTGACTGCTCCCATAATGCAGGGTAAGCCAGGGAACTCCCATGATTGCTTCAGATTCTCCAAGAGCTGGCCATCCACTTAAGACCTTTTACGCAGGAGCTAGCATCTAACCAGACATGCACAGCTCTCGGACTCAAGACATCCATTGTGCAGTTTCAGGATTGCCTACTTACCCTCTGTAAAGTCTCCATCTTGGCCTGGGAACATCTTAAAAGATCTTTTACTTTCTGCCCGCGTGATTTGGGGCAAACCCTCTCCCTTTCAGAATTTCACCTTCAGCCCTGGCTTGCTCTCCACCAGCCTGCCTGACCCTGCTCTCTCCCGGGCCTCCTGCTCCCAGCTCTCACCTGCATTTCCATGAAGATGATGCCAGTGGACTCATGAGCTTCCGGTCCTCCAGTCATGTAGAGGGTCCTCACCTGCTCAGAGGTCAGGCTACAGCTAAAGGAGGAGAAGGCAAGCTTCTGGGAGCAGGGCAGAACCACTCTGGCCAGGGGCCCCAAAGCTCAACCCTGCCCTGGGCCTCCAGGTCTCTCCTAGAAGACCAGAAGTAAAGGGTTGGAAAATGAGCCCTTTCCCTGAAAAGTGGGATCTGGCTGACTGCAGAAAGAAAGCCCAGGATATTAAAAATACGACTGTTTCTATAAAAGCCACATTAAAATGTTTGTGCCCTGGTCCCCTCCCTAGTCTGCCTACTCCTCGTTCCGATTCTGTCCCTCAGAAGAAAGAAACGCTGTCCCCCATAGAATGCCCAATTACCTGACATAGAATTCAGCACTGGCCCTTCCCGCACTGGTCTCGTTTCGGGCAATGCCCAGAAGGAGTGGACGGCTCAAAGTCGACAAAGGCACGTTCACCTGGTGGGGATGGGGTCGGAGGTCGGGGGGGCATCACTTCAGCTCCTGCTTTCCCCGCCCTCTACAGCCATTCTCCCCCTCAGGCTCAGCCCCCTCACCTCATCCCGGATCTCCTGCAGGATAGAGGAGAACAGCTCTGGAACCACCAGGTCCTCAGGCAGATCATCGTGCTGGGGCGTCTCCCCAGGAAACAGGGCCTACAAGGAGGCAGCCTCAGCTCTCCCCTCCCCAGAGCAGCCTCGCCTCTTAGGCCAGAGTCCGCAGCTCCAAGGAGACTTGTCGGGTGGACCAGCCTTGCTCTGGTCCCCTCATCCCAGCCCCATTGAAGCACATCAGAATGGGAGAGGAAGAGGAAGGACAAAGTGCTGGCCAGAAGAGAGCCACGGTCTCAGGCCCGGGAGACCTGGGGCTCTAGGCCTTGCTGACTTTGGGTTTTGCATCCCCTTACTTTTTATTTTTTTTTAAACTAATTTATTTTGATTTATCAACAATCACTTCCATAAGCTTCTGAGTTTTAAATTTTTCTCCCTCCCCAAGACAGCCCGCAATCTGATATAGGGTATACCTACCTTTCTCCTTTTCCCTCCTACTGCCTAAAGGGCAAGTTAGGTTTGTAGACCTAACTAATTATGTTATTCCCATCTTGAGCCAAATCTGAGGAGAGTAAGGTTCAAAGAATGCTCATCTCCCTCCCTTCTTTCCCCCTGCTGTAACAGGTTTTTGTGCCTTTTTCTGTAACATTAATTTACCCTTGTCCGCCTCCTTTTTTCCTTTTCTCTCAGTACATTTTCTTAGATCAGATTAACCCACTTACTTGGATCCACTGAACCCACTTGATTAGATTTTTTTTTTATCATTACATCAAAGTCAACTTATACTCACCCCCTTTATGTATGCCCCTTTAACAAGGTGTAATAATACAGTTCTCGAGCGTTACAAGTGTCATCTTCCCTTGTAGGATGTAAACAGTTGGCCCTTGTTAATAACATGTTTCTTTCTGCCTCATTTACCCTTTTACCCTTTCCTTTTTAAATAACTCCTTCACCAGCCATTGGTTCCTGGTGACAAAGAGCCAGAGGGGTAGAGAGTGGACCTGGGACTTCCTGGTCCCAGGAGCTCTCTCAGGGAATGCAGTCATCACCTTTCCTGCCACTAGGAGTCTCAGAGCTGCCCGGAGCTCCGAGGCGTCACGACCTGCCCAGGGCCACAAGGCCAGGAGGGCTCCTCCCTGCTCCAGCTCAGCTCTTTTGACTGTTGCCTCATGGATTAAGAAGAAAAATCATCGGTTTGGCAAAACGAATCAACGTGTGAACAGATGGGACAGTAGATGCCGCGTTCCTCACCCACAGTCCACCACCTCTGCGAAGGCCGATCATGAGCGAGGTTATCATGCGGAAGGAAGATGGTGCCTCGTGGCCGGCCCCTCCAGCAGACCGGCCCCTCTCTCTCTTGTCTTCTCCCCCTGTCCCTGCTGCCTGAAAACCTCCCTGGCGACTGCAGTCCTTCAACAACCCTCCCCGATGCCCCCAGTCCTAGACGTCTCCTCCGCCTCTTCACTAAACACACTCTCTCTGCCTTGAACCTCGTCACTGACCCTAGCCTCTCTCCAGCCCTCTGGTCCTTATCACCAAATGCCCATTGGGTATTTTGAAGCCAGTGTCCCTTAGGCAGCTGATACAACATGTCCAAAATGGAGCTCATCACTCCTCCAGACCTACCCGTTTTCCCAGCTTCTAGCCCTTAGCATGGTGCCTAGCATACAGTAGGGGTTTGAGGAATACTTGTTGGCTCCACGTCCTAGCCTCTTTGCAGTCCCCCGGGCTCATGACCTGCTGGGTCATCTGTGACACTCCTCACCCTACTCACCCCAAACGGCTCATCTGTTGGCTCAGTCCCGTTTCCTCCTCCGCGGTCTCTCTCCCATCTATCCTCTCTCTCTGTCTACATGGCCATCGTCCCCTCGGTGTCCACCCTCACCACCTCAGCCAGGACCGTTGTGATAGCCTGGGGGAGCCTCTGCTGGCCTCCAGTCTTTCCCCACTCCGGCCCGGTCCTCCACTCAGCCACCAAAGGGATTTTCTGAAAGCCCAGGTCTGAGCATAACACCCCTCCCCCATTCTCAGTAACCTTCTCTGGCTTCCTATTATCAAAAGTATCAAACGGAAATTCCTCTGTTGGGCGCCAGGGGGCACGCTGGGTAAAGCACTGGGCCTGGAGTTGGGAAGACCTGCGTTCAAATTTGACCTCAGATACTTACTATCTGTGTGACCCTGGGTAAGTCATTTAATCCCTGTCTGCCTCAGTTTCCTCATCTGTAAAACAGGGCAAGAGCACCTACTTCCCAGGGCTGTTGTGCAAATCAAATGAAACAATTTCTGTTAAGGTCTTAGCATAGTGCCTGGCATATAGGAGGTGCTTAATAAATGCTAGTTTCCTTCTTTCCTTCCTTCACACTTGGAATGCCATCCCTACTCAGCTTCTCCTCTTGGAATCTCTCCTCCCTTCAAAACTCAATGGAAAGGGGCTAGGTGTCACAGTGGATAGAGCACCAGCCCTGAAGTCAGGAGGACCCAAGTTCAAATCCGGCCTCAGACCAAACACTTGACATTTACTAGCTGTGTGACCCTGCACAAGTCACTTAACTCCAATTACCTAAAAAAACAAGACAAAAACCTCCAAGGAAGCGCCACCTTCTCCATGCAGCCTCTCCTGATGCCCCAGTTGCTCGGATTCTTCCTCCCAAGAAAATACCTGCTAGTTTTTCTTCTGTCTTATGCATTTGCCCCCATACGTGCGTGTTGCCACTTTGACTGTAAGGTAGAATCATAGGGTTATGGACTGAGAATTGGAAGGGCCCTTAGAAGCCATGGAGTTCAGCCACCTCGTTTTACAGATGAGGAAAATGAAGCACAGAGAAGGCGCATGGCTAGACTAGCCACGCCTCACATTGCTAGAGTGGGAAGTGTCTGAGGCAGGATTGGAACCCAGGTCTTCCTGATGCCATGTTTGGTGTCCTATCCCTTACATCGCACTGCCTGTCAGGCGTTTCGCTCCGCTTGGTCCATCTTCCCATCCCCTCTGTCGCTCTCTCCTTTAATTTCATTTCCCTCACTCAACAAACCTATGTTGAACATCTCCTGTTTGCCTTGTAGATGCTGGTGTTGGGGGAGAGGAAGATACAAGCGGTAGCAGGCGGGCCACAGTCCGCCACCTTATACCTTTCCACCACAGGCTTTCCCTGCTCAGGTAGGTTCTCAGCTCTCAGGCCCTGGGCCTCTTTCCTCACAGCTCTGGACAGTTAGAAGATGGGAGAGGAAGGGGAAACGAACCCCCCCCCCGAGAGTACAGCTTCCCCAGCCCTCCCCACCCCTAATTCTCCTTGTTTTTAGGTCTTCTAGGGCTCTAGAAGGCCAGGGGCTTTCTTTGCCTGACTGTGCAGGGTGTAGGTGCTCACCTGAGGCTCAGGGTGCCCCCCTGGCACATCTATCCGCCCAGGGGCCTCAGCCACCCTCAGAGATCGGCGTAGAAAGACCAGGAAGCCATCCGAGGTGGCCAGCATGGCACCCACTCCCAGTGGGTCTGCCAAGTAGGCTTGGGCATCTCCCCAGTCGGCTTTCCCCTGGCACCGAAGCCTGCCTGCTGAGCTAGCCCAGTTGGTGCCTAGGAAGTCCTGGTAGGAGGTGAGGCCCATTCGAAGCATCAGGCAGGACCCTCCAGGGTCAAGGGGCCCCAGGGCTGCTGAGTGCAGTCGAAACTTGGGAGCATCGAAGAGCCAGGGCTGGGCCTCCCGGCGGGCGTTCCAAGCAGCAACGATGGAGTCCTCCCCACCAGGCAGTGGGCGCCGGTCATAAGCTGGGCTCAACTCTGCTCTCACCTGCTCTTCAACAAGCCCGCCCAGCGGGCACTGGACCAGTAGAGAGACCTCGGGATCCATAGAACAGAGGGGACGAAGCCGGTGGTGGGGGACGCAAGATCTGGAAGAGGGAGATGGGGCTGAGTTACCACTGCCCTGCAGGACATCTCCTGCCCACAGCTGGCCTCCTGGGGCGTCCCAGACCCGGACATGCTCCCCGGGCGCCCCCGCCCCAGCCCAGCACTGACTGTGTAGGCAGCTCCCCCCAGCCGCTGCCGCCGCTGCTTCCGGCCTCCCGCTCAGCTGGGGCTGGCTCCTCCCCTCCCTTAACGAAAGCGGAAGGAGTCTTACTCCCTCGGTCCCCCACCTCTCATTGGCTCCCTCCGTGCCCCAAGATCTGGTGGGCCCGCCTGGCAGGAGCCCGGTGAGGTTCGGCCCCTGCTGGATTTCTAGGGCCCTTCCGAGTCATCTGTTCCATCCCCCTCTCCTTATAGATGGGAAACTGAGGCCCTGAGGGGCTCTGAGCCTTGCCCGGGGTCAGACGGGTAGGAGGAAGCAGAAAGCCCAGTTCCTTCTTGGCCCTGCTGCCTTTCTGATCTCTGGCCCCAGCTCCACCCTGCCCAGGGCGCTGTCCCTGAGCCCTCCCCGCCTAACTCACAGCCCGGGCACAGTGGGAAGTGGGGAGCACAGGCAATCGGGCTGCAGAGCAGGAGCAGCGCCCCCACCTCTCCCTTCCACCCTGGAATGGGGCAGAGCTGAAAGTGCCCTGGATTGGGAGTCTGAGTCTTGGCTGTGCCCCAAATGATCTCTGTGACTTTGGACAACTTCTTTTCACTGTCTGGTCCTCAGTGTCCTGCTCTGTAAAATGAGGTAGACAGACTGGGCAGTGTCTCAATATCATAGCTCTAAATGCTATGTTCCTAGGTTCCTGGGGAGTGAGGGGCATGAATCCCACTGGGGGACAGACCTCCCGGCAAGCTGGGTCCGGGGGACGGAGGACCCGGAGACGCCGAGAACAGGTGAGAGCCCGTGGGCTCCCCTGGGGGGCTCAGCTCAGGTGGCTGCTCTGCCCATGGACGGGGTGGGGACTGAGATTCTCAGAGCCAGAGCAGCTGGCCCAACAGACCTTCCCTGGGGGCCCACAGGTTCAAGGACTGATGGATACTTCCCCTCCCCCCCCCAGCCCTGGGGCACACAAGGGAGCCTTTCTATGGTCACTGTTATCCAGCAGATCTCTTGGGGGGCAGGAGGGGCTGGGCACCTTTGGTGGGAAAAGGGCAAGGACTTTGTTGGCCTTTGGGCTGTTTCAGGACCAGGATGTGCGGCTGTCCAAGGCTCTGTCCTATGCCCTGCGTCATGGGGCCATTAAGATGGGGCTGCCCATGGGCTCAGGTAAGCCACGAGAGCCAGGAGGCCGTGGGGATAGCCTGGGTCAGAGGAAGGCTGGGAAAGTGGTGGTCCCCTGCAAGAGCGGTAATGATACAAGCCGTCAGTGGAGACGGAGGTTAATGAGTCCAGGAGCTCTCAGTTCAAATCCTGCCTTTAGATACCGTGTGACTCTGGGCAGGTCACTCAGCCTCAGTTTCCTCTTCTGCAGAATGGGGAGGGGGATGATAGTGTCCATCCCCAGGGCTGTGGTGAGGATTAGGTGAGGCCACGTGTGAAGGGCTTTGTAGAACTAAACAGATGTTAGTGATTACGCAAAGGACCAGGAGCCTGAGAAAGGCTCGCTCAATTGTGCTGACTCCTTAGGGTCTAACCACCGAACCAGAGCATCTCCTTAGGCCTGCTCTAAACCCACTCGTCGGCCTGTCCCCTGCTTGGCCAGTGACGGCCTGGTGGGTTAGCCCTGAGCATTCATTAGATGCCTTCTGCGTGCCCATAGGAGCTTAATAAATGCCGATTGATTGTGGGCCCAGTGTGGGTGAGAGGCGGGACTTTGACCATTCCCTTGCAGACGGCTTTGTGCCCCTGGACGCCATTCTTCAGCTGCCTCAGTTCCAGGCCTTCTCCTTGGAGGATGTGCACCGCGTGGTGGAAACCAATGAAAAGCAGCGGTTTACCTTGCGCCCTGGGCCCCCTGGCTCCTGCGGGTCCATCCGAGCCAACCAGGGCCACTCCCTGAAGGTAGATGGCCAGCCTTGGGGTGTGTGTGTGTGTGTGTGTATATGTGTGTGTGTAGGGGGCAGATTGTGTGTGCATGTATATATGTGTATGTGTAGGGGCAGATTGTGTGTGTGTGTATAGGAGGCAGATTGTGTGTGCGTGTATATGTGTGTGTGTAGGGGCAGATTGTGTGTGTGTGTGTGTGTGTATAGGAGGCAGATTGTGTGTGTGTGTATATGTGTGTTGTAGGGGGCAGATTGTATGTGCGTGTATGTGTGTGTGTGTGTGTAGGGGCAGATTGTGTGTGTGTGTGTCTATAGGAGGCAGATTGTGTGTGTGTATATGTGTGTTGTAGGGGGCAGATTGTGTGTGCGTGTATATGTGTGTGTGTGTGTGTAGGGGCAGATTGTGTGTGCGTGTGTGTATAGGGGGCAGATTGTATTTATGTGTGTGTGTATATGTGTGTGTGTGTGTGTGTGTGTGTGTGTGTAGGGGGAGGGACGGAGGAAAAGGGGAGGCGGAGTGTGGGGGCAGGAGGGAGCCAGGGTGGTGGACAGAGTCTGCCCAGGAGAGTGGAAGCTCCCTGGGGAGGGGCAGGCTTCCTCTCCATCTCTGCTCTCCCCGTCCAGCTGTCCAGCTCCAGGCTTTGCCCCCAGCACTTTCTGCAAGTGGACCAGGGCGATGCTTCTGATAGCTGTGTGACTCCAGGCACTTGCCTAACTCTCTGTGCCTCGGTTTCCTCCTCTGCAAAAACTGGAGGTCAGACTCAGGGGCCCTCAGGCTCCTCTGGCTCTAAATCTGTGACCTCGGATTGAGTCTCAGCTCAGAGATGTCCTCGCTGTATGAAGTTGGGAAAGTCTCTGCCTCGGTTTCCTTATCTGTACAGTGGCAGCAATAATCCCCATACTGTGTATTTCCCAGGACTGTTTCAAGGGAAGTGCTATAAAATGGTAGTCCTGTTAGGGGGAATGAAGGCACCCCCAGATTCTGAAGTGACCCCCCTTTGTTCCTCCTGGCAGGTGACTGACCTGGAGCTGACGCCTCTAAGGACTCCCCAGACCTGCCCCCCATTCTGGTCCATGGAACGTACCAGCGCCACTGGCCCTCCATCCGGCAGGAGGGTCTGTCTCGTCGCGGGAGGACCCACGTCCACCTGTCCCCTGGCCTGCCTGGGGAACCCCACATCGTCAGTGGTTAGTAGCCCACGCCCCGGCCCCTTTCCGGAGTGCTGGGGGAATCCCGTGGTGCCCGGGTGCCACCCATGACTCTGTCCCTTAGGCATGCGGCAGGACTGTGAGGTGGCCGTGCTCATCGACGGGCCCTTGGCCCTGGCTGGTGAGTCTGGCTGGCTGGGAGGAGGAGAGGGGAGAGGGCAGAAGAGAAGGGCCTGAAGTCTGACCCTTCCCCACAGAGGGCATCCTGTTCTTCCGCTCAGCCAATGGGGTGATCTTGACTCCAGGGGATGCCAGGGGTTTCTTGCCCCCCAAGTACTTCAAAGAAGCCCTGCAGCTGGGCCCCCCAAGTGAGTAGCTTTCACTCTGGACTTCCTGGTCCCTTGTCAGGCTCTGAGGGATGGGCGGTTGCCTCTTGGCCTCAGACCTCTCTCTCCCTGCTCCCACCTCAGCATCACCTCCTCTCTTCCCTCATCCTAACCCTTTCTCTGCCTCAGGGAGGCCTCTTCCTCTGGCTGAAGAGGAGACAGAGGGTCAGAGAGGTCACCAGGGTGCCTTGGCCAACAGCTAAGGAAAGAACATGGGGAGAATCCAACTGTGAAATATTTATTTATAAAAAGACAAATAAAAACTAATAAAGAAAACATTTCCTTCTTGTGGCTGTGCCCCAGTGTCTCTGCAGCCCTGAGTCCAGATCACCCTGGAGCATGGAGGTCAAAAGGCAGTTGGGTCCTGGGGTCCCTCAGCCTGCCTGGCACACCTCCAGAGCAGGAGAGAGCTGATGCCTTAGGCAGGCGTGAGCAGCCTCTGGGTCCCCCATCGCACCTGGTGGGGAGGCCGTCCTGCTCAGCCTCTCCCTTTTCCCTGCACAAAGGAAGTAGGGAGCCTTGTCAGGGAGGAGGGGGACACGAGGCGAGGCCTGGGCCCCCCTCCCAGTGGGCGCCGGGGGTGATGACAGCAGCGTGTGTGTTGGGGCAGCGGGACGGAGTGAGGGGAAGCTTTTGTGAGAGCGCCAGGCCTTGCTTGGGGACGGTGGGGAGATGGAGGAGACCCTCTGGGGGTCTCAGAAGGCTTCATGGCCCCCGGTGAGCTGCAGGAAGAGATCCTCATCCAGGTCCTCGCCCCGGGCACGTTCCCGGGTGGACAGGAAGATGTAGCCGCCAATGTACTCGTGCAGGACGCGGCAGCCGGCCGACACACAGCTGAAGGCCACGTTGATGTGCTCGTCAAATTCGATGGCTACCTGCAAGCCGGACCATGCATGTGAGCAGGAGCAGAGAGCACAGGGCGGGGGCCCGGGGCGCCCCCCCCCCGCCATCTTCCCACCTGGCGGATGTCCCAGTTGACGTTCCATTGACGCATGTTACTGAACCGCCAAGTCTTCACGACGTCGCCCACGGCCAGGTCGATGCGGATCAGGCGGTTGTTGGCGATGCCCAGGACCTCATCCCGCCTGCTGCCCTTAAACCTGGAAGTGGGGAGGGAGGAGGGTGCTTGGCTGGCTGGGAGAGGGAGAGAGGAGGCGAGGAGGTCACTCGAGAGAATCAGACCCTCCGAGCTGGAGGGGACCTCAGTGGCATCTGGCCCGACTGTATCAGAATAAGAATCGGTTATCTGGTCTCCACTTGAAGATCTCCGGGGATGGGGAACTCATTACCTCCCCAGGCAGTCAGGCCACTTTCAGATAACTTGGTGGCGAGTCTCCTGTCCCCCATGTCCCGCATCGAGTGCGAATCTGCCTTTTGCAGTTCCCCTGCTTTTTCTTAGCTTTACCCTCTGACCCCTCCTCCACATATTAAACCCCACCGGGTACTTGTAGACAGTTGGGATATCCCCCCAGTCTTCTCCAGGTCAAGACCCCCAGTTCCTTCAGCTGATCTCCAGGGCATGATCTTAAGGCCCTTCACCTTTGGATATACTCCAGTTTAGCCAAGTTCTTATTAAAACGTGGTGCCCAGAACTGATCAGGACAGACAACACTGGCTTCCAACCTTCAGAGTCCCTAGGAGCCCATTAGTTTTCCTAGAGCCCCACTGTTGAGTTATACTGAGCTTGTGGGCCTCTGAGACCCCCAGATCTTTTTCTCACACCAACTGTACCTTCAGACGAGTCCATGCCATTGAAGCAAGAGTGAGAGCCGCAGGTCTTGGAGAGGGCACCCAGCGTCCACTCAGAACCCACCCCAGGCACTTGCAGACTGTTAGGGGCCAAGCAGCCTTGGCCCAGGGACCCACTGGCTGGAGGGTAGGCCAGGTACCTGACGATGAAGTAGGAGATGCCAAAGTCGGGCAGGGACTGCCAGGCCTGGATGAATCGGAGCTTGGCCTCTGACAGAGAGAGCTGGGCCACATTCTGGTGTGCCTCCAGGATTCGGGGGGTCAGCTGTTAAGGGGTGGAGTGACTTTAGAGCTGGGAGGAACCTTAGAGGGCAATCCCCTCGTTTTACAGATGAGGAAACTGAGGCACAGGGTTACACAGCTAGTAAGCAAGCCTTTGAGGTTGGAGTTGAACCCAGGTCTTCCTGCCTCCAAGCCCAGGGCCCTATCCATTGGGCCACTCTGCCCCTTTCTTTGAGTCTTCTGACTCTAAACGTGGCATTCTTGCCATTAATGCTTCTCTGCTGCTATCAGCATGTTGGCATGTAAGGAACCTTCACCTCCTTGGGCAAAGGTCCAGGGGTAGGATGCTGGTGTTGGGGGGAATCAACAGTTGTGGTATTTCTCTTGCTGGGCCAATTCACAGCTCCACCAACAATGCATGAGTGTGCCTCAGGCATTGACTCTTTCCACTTTTGCCATCATCGTGGATGGATGTAGGGGTGGAAGAAGAAATCGCAGCGTGGTTCTGATTTGCGTCTCTCTCAGTGATTTGGATCATTTTTCCATGTGGTTAGTGATGGTTTGCATTTCTTCTCTCAGGCTCCCAGGGTCCCCTACCCACCTTTTGCCCGCCTCTCCCCTTCACTACCCAAGCTATGCCCCATGGGCCGTGCTCCTCTCTCCAGAGCTGGACCCCCGACTCCCCCGAGCACGCACCTGTTTGGCCTTTAGCTTCCGCTGGAATCGAGGGGCGACGAGGCCGTGGGGGTTGAGCACCTCGCCGCTGGCTTCGGGGCCCTGGGGGTTGGCAGGGCCAGTGCCTCCACCTCCCCCAGTCCGCTGCAGGCTAAGGAAGGCCAGGATGCCCTGAACCTCGCTCTGGTAGCTGCTATCTGCCATGGTGCGACCCTTGGAGGCCAGTCGGCAGCCGGCCATCCACTGGGCGTACTGCTGCTCCTGGGGACGGCAGGGGTGGTGATGGGCTGGTGAAACTCAGGCTCGCGCCACTCCCCGCTTAGCGTCCCCCCGAGCTCCATCTGTCCTACTCACGTCCTGGCAACGCAGGTAGAGCTCGCTCATGCCCTCTGGCGAAGGTACCAAGAGTTTGATGCAGAACTTCTGCCCAGAGACGTTGACGTCGGGTACCACCTCACAGCCTGGGCCAAAAAGGAGAGGGGAGATGAGGAGGCATGGCGTGATAGGGAGCGGATCAGGTGATGAGAAAGCAGAGGACCCTAGGTTTAGAGCCGGCAGGGCCCTGAGGGCCAGATGGCCCAGGCCCTCTGTTTTAAACAAAGGGTCCAAGGGAGCCCAGAGAGGGCTCTCCTATAAGGAGTAAGTGGAGAGTGCAGGATGCAGAGCCACGGCCTCTGACTCCCCATTCTGAAGCCTCAGTTCTAGCTACTTCCAGACCTCCCTCTTCCTGTTCAGGACCCTTCTCTCATTTTGGAGCCTGAGCTAGAAACCACAGAATCATCTCCTTCCTCTCTCCCAATCTCAATATCCCTTGCAAGTTAGGGAATAAACATTCATTAAGCACCTACTATTTGCCAGTCACCCTTGGTCCTCACAATGACCCTGGGAGATAGGTGCTGTTATTTTTCCCATTTTGCAGCTGAGGAAACTGAGGCACAACCCCCACCCCCTGAGATGCTTCAGTCTCTCCCCACTGCCTTTAGGACAAAATATAAGATGGAAGGTTTGCACAGCCTGGGCCCCACGCCTGGAGGATGTGCTCCTCAGGATCCTTCCCGCAGGGCCTGGTTCAGGGCCCGCCTGATCCCCCATGCTCTCTCCTCCAGTGATTCTACACATCCTTGTCTGCTGTATGTTACAGACCCCACCCCCCCTCCACCCCACCCTCTCTGCTCTTTGCACCACAGCCTGTGGGCTTGGCTCACCCTTAAGATGGAGCTGCTGTATGGGGTCTCCGGGGGCCTCCTCTTGGGTCTTGTAATAGGAGAGTGTGGTCTCCTTAAACACAACCCAGTATTGGCGGTATCCCTTCAGGGTGAGCTTCCGGGGCCTGAGAAGAGGAAGCAGGGAGGGAGAGGGGTCTGGGGACCAGATGCTAGCGTCCCATCCCCTCCTTGGCCGGGTGGGGAGAGGCAGGGCCTGCCTGGAATCACACCTGGGATGCAGGTGTGCCTGTCTCTGGGCCTGGGGCCTCCCTCCCCCAGGGTCTGGGCCTTACCGGAAGATGCGGAGATGGTCCTTGAGCTCAGGGATGGCTGTTAGGCTGTCCTGTGGGCCAAGAGGGACATTTAGTGCAAACCTGGCCAGAACCCCTGGAGCCTCAGCCCCAGCCCGATGTCTCCCCTGCTCCCACCTCCTCACCAGCATGTCTGTGGAGGCTGAGCCCGCCAGCTTCACCTCCAGGTTATTCAGCGCAGCGTCCAGGTCATCCAGGCCACTGCCACCTGCGGCATCATCCTGCTCCCCGCTCAAGGCCAGTTTGTTAATGTGGTACTGGGTGGGGGGGCAGGCAGTGAGGTCTGGGGGTCCCTGCTCCACTCCCCCTCGGCCTTCCCCATGGCCTTCTGAGGCCCTGCTGCCCTGTCCAGCTCACAGATCAGCTCACAGATCACCGATAAGGCAGAAGAGCCCAAGGAACCTTGAGGACCACTGAGTCCATTCTCCTGCTCTTCCAGAGGAGGACAGGAAGCACCCGTCCAAGGTCCCCCAGGAAGCAAGTCTGGCAATTTATGGTTTAAAACCAGGAGTCCTGACCCCAAGTCCAGGGCTCACTCCAGCCCCCCACCTCCCAAGAGCCCCAGTCTCATCCCACCTTTTGCCTTCTCTGTCACCATCTAGAGGGGGCTTTGGCCCCACCGCTAAAAATCAACAACAAGATTGCCAGGAAAGTGTGGAAAGTGCTGTGGCGGTCTGCGCCGGCCCTCACCACTGCCCAGGACCTGGAGAAATCAGGGCAGACTTCCCAGAGGAGGTGGCACTTAAGCTGGGGGTCTCACAGACAGCAGAGGAAGCAGAGGTCCCTACCTGCAGTGCCGCAAAGACCATCATCTCCTCCTCTGTGCAGTCGATCTCCTCCAGCAGCAGGTCCCAGCGAGCTTGTTCATAGAGCTGCGTGAGGCGTACCGGGTCTGCCTGGGGAGGGCGGTGGGCAGGAAGGCCAGGGGGCCATGTCAGACAGGTCCATTCAGGAAGTACCCGCCAGGTGTCCAGCCCCCCGCGGGCCCAAGAACCAGCAGAGGAAGGCCCTGCCCTGGGATCCTCTGGCCGTGACATGTCGGAGGTGAACGGGACCCCAGAGCTCACCTTGGTTGACCCCATTAGCAGGCCCAGAGAGGAGGGACTGGGCCAAGGTAACACAGAGCCCAGCTCCCCAGCTTTCAAACTCAGGGCTCTTTCTCCACCAGGTCAAAAAGGTTGGTGGTCATCTGATGGGAGGGTAGTGGCCAAAGCCCTTGGGAGCCAGTGACCTGGCTTTGCCTGATCCTTACCGTGGTAGGGCTGGCTCCCCTCACTGAGCCTCAGTTTCCCTCTCTGTAAAAGGTGCATAGTGACCTTTGTGCTGCTATCTCCCTAACGATGCATTCTTCAAGCTCTAGAGCCGGCCAGATGGCCAGGTGGCTAGAATGGCGGACCTGGAGTCAGGAAGACCCGGCTTCGGATTCTTCCTTAGCTGCCGGGGGACGTTGGGCCAAAGGTCTTGGGCTCTTCCTCATCTCTATATTGGCGATGACCGCCCCCCCCCCCCGGAAGAAGCACCACGTGCACAGAGCTATGCAAAGGGTAGCTTTTATTATCACTGTAGAAATGTGAGTAATTGCTATCACCAATCCTAACAACTCTATCGGCATGCTAAAACAAAGTCCCACCGAGCTCTCAGGAAAAGCTCTAGGGAGGGGGCCCAGGGTGGGGCTCAGGGGTCTGGGGAGGGGGCCCGGGGCGGGGCTCAGGGGTCTGGGGAGGGGGAGGTTGGGTGCACAGAGCGGCCTTAGTCCTTTGGGCAATGGGGAGCCCCAGCAGGTTCATGAGCAGGGGAGGGATGGGAGGTGTTTTTGGTGCTGGTCCCGGCCCTGAGCATCCTCCCCGGCTGAGCCCCTCCCTGCCTCCCCATCCTCTGCCGGTTCTCACTTCCCCTCTACTGACCTCCCAGGCCTCCCTCACCTTGGGGTCCAGGTCGAAGAAGCTGTAGTATTTGAAGCGCAGCCAGAGCGTGTCCTCAGGCTTGACTCCTTGCTGCATCAAACACCTGGATGAGTCCAGCCACCTGGGGGGGGGCGTGGCAGGAGGAAGCAAGGATCCACGAGTCAGAGTGCCCGGCTTGGGCTTGGGTTCAAATCCTACCTCTACTGCTTACCTGCTTAGGATCTAGAGCTAAGGGGCCCTTGGAGGCCTTTTCTTACAGAGGAGGAAACAGGCCGAGGGGGTGGCGTGTAAGGCCAGGGTTCTTTCCTTTGGGGTGCTGTGTGACCCTAGACATGTCACCTCCCTTCTGGCTCATCTCGACGGCACCCCGCGTTGCTTCTACCTGGGAATCTTTGGCCCTTCTCTGGGCCAGGGGTGGGGTGTGGGCAGTAACATCTCCCAGCTTTGCTCGGGGCTGACCTGGCTATGGCATTACCTGGATTGCCTCCACGGCCCTGGTCCCCATTTTCCAGACTAGAGGTCACAGCTAGTCAGGTCTGGGGGCTGCATTTGACCCCCCTACACACACCAGGGGCCTGCCCTAAGCTCTCTTCTAGTGGCCTCCCAGCCGTGCTGACGGGTGGGAGAGGCCTGGGAGGTGGCCGGGGGGGCGGGGCTCTCACCTGCTGTGCAGGTGAGTCTTGTCAGCCAGGGAGCCGGGTCTGGGCAGGCGGAGCAGCTGGGCTGGGTCCGGGGGAGGCTGGGGAAGGCTGAGCATCCGGTAACAGGCCTCAGTCTCGGGGCTATCAGAGAAGTGAGCCGGCATCCCCCGGAACTGGGCTGGCGCCACGCCTGACGTGGGCAGGGGGTGGTCAGGACCTGGGCTCGCCCTGCCTGGCCCAACCATCCGCCCCGCCCCCCGCCCGCCGGCCCGTGCCTGCGGCTCACCGGCGGCGAGGACAACCTTGGTCAAGTCAAACACTTCTTCCTCTGGTTCCTTATCCTTCTTCTTCTTCTCCTTCTTGTCTGGGGCGCGGAGCAGGGACAGCTCCTCGGGGTGACGGATGCCTGTAGAGAGGAAGGTCCCCAGCTGGGAGGCGGACAAGCCTGCGCTCCAACCCCACTCCCATCCTCACTAGCTTGTGTTCGCTCATCTGTGAAATGGGGCAGCAGAGGAGGGAGGCCACATCCAGGGCTGGCAAACCCCGAGTGGCTCTCTCTCCTTCGGCCTGCTCCCTCCTGGGCCGGGCTCCCCAAGAGCAGAGAACAGGGATGGGGATGGAGGCAGGGACCCAGGCTCTGGAAAGGCTGGGCTGGGAGGGGTTCGGGCCGGAGACGCTCACTGAGGACGCGGCATATGGCAGCCACCGTGCGGAAGAGGGGCTGAGAGAAGCTGGCGCGCAGACGCAGGGCGCGGCGATTGGGCAGCCGGAGGGTGACGGGCCGGTGCTGCGGCCCGAAGTGCAGCCGCGCGTCGGCCAGGATGCCGTATTTGTCCAGGGTCCAGTGGGTCTGCAGCAGCCACATCTTCTTCTGTTCCCACCACAGCGCATGGTCTGACCAGTCCTGCTTCCGCTCTGCCAAAGAGAGGGGGCGGCTGAGGCCTGGGGGCTGCTTCCTCCGGCCCCCTCCTCCCACCCGCGGGGGAGAGTTACTGCCCTTGAGGACGAGAGGTCCTGGGTTTGAATTCTGCTTCAGGATCACTAGTCGGTGACCTTGGGTGGGCAAGCCACCTCCCTTTTCTGGCCTCAGTTTCCCTCTTGGCAAGATGAGGGGTTTGGACAAGATGGCCTTGAGATCTCTTCCATTTTCCACCCTGGGATGATCCAAGGATCACCCCCCTTGTCTGGGGCCTGAGCCAGCCAGGGCTCAGAGGAGGGAGCTGGGATGTGGAGCGTTTGAGGATAAGGGAGAGGGTCAACCTTACAGTAAGAGAGAGGCTGGGTCTGGAGCTAAAGGACCCCTCCTCCAGCCCTTGGTGGGGGGCCAGGAGACCCCTCCTCCTCCAGCCCTTGGTGGGGAGCCAGAGGACCCCTCCTTCTTCCCTAGCCCTTGGGGGGGGCACCAATGAGTTGGAGGTACACAGTGGAGGTGACTGATTCCTGCCTCCTGTGGCTTGCCCCCCAGGTTCTGCCCTGGCCTTCTTTTCCAATGTCCAGGGCCCTCAGTGGTCATCCAGTCTGTGCTTGAGGCCCTTCCATGATGGGAAGGTTAGCGCCCAGAGGCCTCCTAGGCTATTTCTGGATGACTTCTCTAGTTGGGAATTTTTTCCTCTTTGCAGCTTCCCCCTAAGCTGCTGGTTGGTTCTGCTCAGGACCAGTCCCTCCAGAGCCTTCTCTTCTCTAGCCTGACGCCCGCCATCCCATCATCCTGGCTTCTATCTGGAAGGAGGCCGGGGCCCTCCACCACCTTGGCCGGCCTCCTCTGGCTGCTCACCAGCTTCCCTGCAGCCGATGGGTCAGAGCCAGGTCTAGACCCAGAAGTCAGCAGCCTCAGACGGCTTGCTCTGGAGGCCGTCTCCCCGGTCACCCTGAGCGGCTATGAGTAGTCATTCATTGGGATGTTTCAGCCCTGCGGTTCCCCAGCCAGCTCGGAGGAAGCCATCCAGCCTGAGAAGGCGAGCCCTTCTTGGCTCCTGCTGTCGTATTATTTTTTCACAGGCACTGTCCCAACGAGGCCAGGCCAGGTTCAAGATCGGGACAATAAGGAAGAGTCTAGACAGCCCTTTTTTGAGAACATTTGCTAGAAAGAGTGCCAGATCTAGGGAGGACTCCAAGTCGAACCGTACCTCTGCTGCTTACTTTCTGTGATCCTGGGCAAATCACTTTCTGTGCCTCGGTTTTCTCTGCTGTCAGATGGGAATTACCTCCCCAAATCTGCCTCCCTTTGAGACTGTTGACATAACAGATGCAATTGTCCATTATGAAACTATAAAACCCCGTGTAACTGTCAGCTACTGGAATGAAGCCGTGTGTGTGTGTGTGTGTGTGTGTGTGTGTGTGTGTGTGAGAGAGAGAGAGAGAGAGTGAAGGGAGGTTGGATGTGGGTCAGTGATTTCTCCAGTCTAGAGAACACCTCATTAATGGGCAGCTTGGAGAGCTGGTTGGGGCAAAGGGTCAAGGTGACCTGTCTGAAGTGTGAGTCACAGCGTGTTCACAGTGTGAACGCTTACTGTGCAGAGGCCCAGCCCCAACATTGACCTCTTTTTTTTTTTTAAAGGTAGTTGGGGTTAAGTGACTTGCCCAGGGTCATACAGCTAGTAAGTGTCTAGTGTTTGGTCTGAGGCTGGATTTGAACTCAGGTCCTCCTGACTTCAGGCTGGTGCTCTATCCACTGCGCCACCTAGCTGCCCCCTCAACATGGGCCTCTTCAAGAGACGTGAAGCCCTTTGGAGACGTGGGAGGTCTACAGAAACACCAGCTGGCATAATTAGATTCATGATTCCATAGCTGTAGGCAGGGCAGCGCTGGCCTCAGAGCCAGGAAAGCCCGAGTTCCAGTCTCGCCTCTGACATGTGCTCGTTGGGAGGGTGTCTTGGGTCTTTCTTTGTAATCCGTACTGGCTATCAAGGGGCCTTTTCCAAAGCACAGATTGACCCCCTACTCACCTTGTGGCTCCCTGTTACTTTTGAGATTAGGTGGGGAAGGAGGATAAGCATTTCCATAGTCTACAGTGTGCCAGGCCCTGGGCTTGGCTTCACAATGATCTCTGATTTGGGTCAGACCTCACTCCTCTGTTTGGCATTTCTAGTTCCTCTTCCTGCTGCGAGAGTCTTCTCACCCTTAACCCACCTTGTGCCTTCATACACTGTACTACTTGCATTTCCTAGACGATCTCACCCTCTCCCAACTCCAGGCCTTTGCCCTGGCTGTTCTTGCTGCCAGGTGTGCTTTCCCTCCTCCCCTCTCGGCTTCCTTCAAGGCGGCTCAAATCGCACCTCCTACAGGATTTTCCTAGTCCTTCCAGAGAATACGACCTTTCATCTACTCCAGATAGATCTCCTATGTACGGAATTGTTGGCATATTGTCTCTCCCATCAGACTGGCAGAGAGCATGGACTGTCTCTCACCTTTCATTCAATCCTCAGCCCTCAGCACAGGGCCGGGCATACAGTAAGTGCTTAATAAATGCTTGCTGACAGTCTGACCCTGGGCAAGTCACTTCCATCTGTCAGTGTGGCCCAGGCAAACCCTCTAAGGGCCCATAGCACCTACGCCGATGAAATCGCAGGTCTGGACAGGGGAAACTATAAATGAGTGTGTGCATGTACATACACGTGTGTGCAATATAGACATGTACATACATACATAAATGTATACATGTACATATGTGTACACAGATATAAGAGAGAGAAACAGGTTACACATTACACACACACACACACACACATACATATATACATACACATGTGGAAGACTGGAGTGATCACTGGACTTGGGAGTCTGAGGGTCTGGGTTTGAGGCCTGTCTCTGACACTTACTAGCAGTATTACTCTGGGTAAATCATTTACCCTCACTAAGCCTCAGTTTCTCCACCTGTAAAATGGGGGCAATAATCCTTGGATGTCCCAGACAGGGGGGTAAAGTGCCACTGGAGGTCTAAGACAGGGCATCAGCCTAGTGAGGTTCCCCTGTGGCCCAGGGTGGGGGGTGTTCATTTCCTGGGTCCCCCTATGTGTTCCTGCCCACCTTTCCTTCCACGGTCTCATCAGGCATTTGGTGCCCAGTTAAGCTCCCCACAGGACCTGGGTGACACGTCGGTGCCATCCCTGCCTAGGGGTGACAGGTGCCTAGGGGTCAGTCCTCGGGAGCTGGGGACAGTGGTGAGAGAGCCCCCGAGCTATGGGCTGTGGGGCCCATCAGCCTGGGGCTGGCTTTCGCAGCTGCTCTGCCCAAAAAGGAGGCCTGGGGAGTGGGCATGGGAAGTGCCCACCCTGCCAACCACCTGCCCCCTCCTGTACCCAGCTGCGCCCCTCTGATACCACAAGCCACTCTGCTGTAACTTCCTGTGGGGGCAGGGAAGGGCCTTTCCAGCTCACCCCATCAGCCCCAACAGCTTCCTTCCGTGAGGCATTTTTTTCTTTTGGGGGAAGTGTGGGTTGGTGGGGGGCAGAATGAATAAGCAGGCGCCCACTCAGCTAAGGACTGCCCGTGCTGCTGGCCCCACAAAAGTATGCTGTCCCCAGCCGCAAGGATGAATGGACCCTCTGTGGACCACCAGGTCTGGAACCCAAGAAATTGGGAATTTCCCCCAGGCCTCAGGCCCCACAGTGGTTTCACCCTTTGCTGGCTAAGCATCATTCACTTGGAGAAAACGTGGTAGAAAGGCAGCCCGGGCTTCCTGGTGGGGAGACGCAGCAGAGCAGGCTGAAAGGCGGGGCTGGTGATTTGGGGGAAGGGAAGTTGGGGGAACTTCTTTTTTTGGGAACAAGCGATTAGGTTAGAGCCTGAGTCACTGGGAGGGCCTTATCACGCGCCCCAGAGTGGGAGAGGAGAGCAGGAAGACGGAGGAAGAGCCGGGGGTCAGGGCAAGCAGAGATAGGGGTGCTCTGTGGGCAGCACCGGCCCGACTCACTGATCTCCTCCACGATCTTGAGGATGACGCCGCCGATGTGGGACTCGCCAGAGACCCGCAGGGTGACGGACTCTTCTTGGGCCTCTTGGTCCCCCACAAACACTTGCAGCTCCCAGGTTGCCATAGCTGCTGGCTGGGTCCTGCAGGGGAATGACAAGGGCTCACAGATCCATCTCTAACGGCCTCCCCGGAGCCCCGGTCTGGGCAGTGTGAACTGGCGGGAGGAGAGGGGCTTCTCGGCTCTGCCTGGTGGCCTCTCCGCTCACCACTGCAGAGGGCACAGCTGCCCTGGTGTAGCTCTTACACCCAGGTGAGCAAACAGTCTGGGGACATTGCCCGGTCCCTCCCTCCTGCCTGCGTTCCAGAGAGAGCTAGCCTTGGGTCTGGCCGCATGGCGGGGACGCCCAGAGTAAGGGGGATGCCGTCGGCCTGGGTCCCAGAGTCTGCGGGCCCCACTCACCTCTCCAGGGGGAGCCGAATGGGTGGCTTCTGCCCCTCTGCTTCTTTTCAGGCCTGAACACCCAAGGTCTGGCCTGGGTGATCCTTCCCTCCTGGTCTGTGGGTGAGCTTTCTCTTGGGGCTGCTGGTAGGCTATGCCTTATCTGCAGTAAGACCAGCTCCACCCCTTGGGGAGGGGAGGCCCCTGGGTCCAGGAAGCCAAGAGCCCGTCAGTCAGGCACTCAAGGCTCCGTGTCTACAGGGAAACAGTAAATGGAGAAACCATGGGGAAAAGGGGTCAGACCCTCCAATTAAGGAGGGCAGGGGAAGGGACCCTCCACACTGGGAGATCCCCTTGGGCCAGAAGGAGAATCCTTTTTGGGGGCATGGGAATCATTAGCAGCATTTAAAGAGGAAATGAAGGAGCTCAGGGAAAGACAGCCAGAGACGTAAGAACAGGTAGAAGGCTCCTGGCACCTGTGCCGTGGGTAGGAAAAACCAGCCAGTCCCCTCCACCCACGTGGCACAGTTTTGATTTGTTTTCCCTTCGGACCTTGAATTGCCTAGAGAGCCAGACCTGGAGTCTAAAGTCTTGAGTTCAAATGTGACCTCAGACATTACTAGCTGTGTGCTCTGGGCAAATTACTTAAAACCATTTGCCTCAGTTTTATCATTTCAAAAATTGGGATAGAATAGGGGTAGCTCAGTGGTACAGATAAAGCACCAGGCTCAGAGTGAGGAAGATTCATCTTGCTGAGTTCAAATCTGGCCTCAAACACTTACTAGCTATGTGACCCTGGCCAAGCCACTTCATCCTGAACCCCAAACCCCAAATCATGAAGATTTACACGCAACTGGAAAGACAGAACCATACAAGTCATGCCCTAATTGATAAATGGTCAAAAGATATGAACAGCAGTTCTCAGATGAAGAAATTAAAGCCATCTATGGTCATATGAAAACACAAAATGCAAATCAAAACACCTATCAGACTGGCCAACATGACGAAACAGGAAAATGATACATGTTGGAGAAGTGGGAAAATTGGAACACTAATGCATTGTTGGTGGAGTCGTGAAATGATCCAACCATTTCGGAGAGCAATTTGGAACTATGCCCAAAGGCCTATAAAACTGTGCAAACCCTTTGACTCAGCAATAGCACTTCCAGGGCTGTATCCCAAAGAGATCAAAGAAAAGGGGAAAAGGACCCACACGTACAAAAATATTCATAGCAGCTTTTTTTGTGATGGCAAAGAATTGGAAATTGAGGGAATGCCCACCAATTGGGGAATGGCTGAGCAAGTTGTGGTATATGAATGTGATGGAATACTACTGTGCTATAAGAAATGACGAGCAGGCTGACTTCAGAAAAACCTGGAAAGACTTGTATGGTCTGACACTGGGTGAAGTGAACAGAACCAGGAGAATGTTATACACAATAACAGACATGTTGTGTGATGATTAATATTAATAAACTTAACCCTTCCCAGCAATACAAAGATCTAAGACATCTCCAAAGGCCTCATGACGGAAAACGCTCTCCATTTCCAAAGAACGAACTATGGAGTCTGAATGCAGACGGAAACATTTTTTTTTCTTTTGTTTCCTCTTTCTGGTGGTTCCTCAATATATTGTTTTTCAATTCTTCCTCAGAACATCACTAATATGAAAATGTTTAATATGAACGTGTATGTGTATGTAGAGCCTGTACCAGACTGCACGCCTTCTTGGGGAGAGGGAGAAAAATTTAAAATTCAAAAGCTTATGGCAGTGATCGCTGATCATTTTAAAAGCTGCTTAGCACGTTGTTTGCACATAGGTGCTCTATAAATGTTAAGCTAGCGAGGTCTTCTTAACGCACTAATCAGGTGTCTACTACGTGCTGGGCATAACGCTGGGTCTGTAGGTGCAGACACACGTCCCACGGCTTAACCAAACCAGCAGGAGTAACCTCTCGGGCAGGAGTGTGGACCAGGAAGTCAGAGGTGTGCCTCTGCTTTAGCTGAGCGGGACCTCTCCTGAGGAAGCCAGGAGCCAAGGCCTGGCCATTGGGGCTCACCGGGAGGCCACCTGCCCCTTTCTCAGCAACCATGCAGCTGATGGCGGAGACACCCAGTGCCCGGAAGACAGCACGAGGAAGAGCCAGCAAGGGCCATCGCAGCTTCCTCAGCTTGGGAGGTAGCAAGCCTGGCAGTTACCAGGGAAGTTCTCTGCCTGACCCCCCCCCCCCCCCCCCCCCCCGCTGACCACCAGCAACAGCCCTTGCCCTTGGTTATGGGAGAACTCAGCTGGGACTGGCTGCCCCACTAGGACACCGAAGGATAAAGCCTCTTCCTTCTTCGAGTCACGAAGGACAACGCGCGGGGTGTCAGCTGGGTGTTCTGCTCCTCACCCGTCAGGCCACGTGTGAAGGGTGACAGCGCCCCCTAGTGACCAGGGGCCCTCTTTCCCAGCCTAGCCCAGGCCTCCAGCCTTGCAGCTCTGCCCTGAGAGGAGGCATGCACAGACCCACCGAGACAAGAGCGCACACACACACAATTGAGGCCACAGCAAGCCATAACCACGCCAACTGGCTTGATTTATTTGGAGGTGACGGGGGCGTGGATTTAACAATGAGCAGGGGCAGCTGGGGCCCAAGGGAGGGAAGGGGCTCCCTCCCCTCCCTGGACACAGCCACCGCCCCAAATAAAAAACCAAAACCAACTAAGGGGGAGGAGAGCAGCTGGGACAGCGACAGGGGAAGGGAGGCCACGGGCTCGAAGGGGCAGCAGTGAAGAGAGAGACCATGCATATGCTGGGGGAGCCCCGAGGCAGCGGCGGCTGTACAAATGAGGCGAGGAAGTCTGTGTCTTCCACATATATATGTACGTATATATGGATAAATACAGAGAGACAAGGTGTGGGTCTCTTTTTTCCCCTTCTCTGCTCCTGCCGCGGTCCCAGCTTCTCTTGCCACAGATAAGGGGGAAGGGCCGGGGGCTCAACAAGTCATCACCGAATTGCAATAAGACCCACGTCCATCAGCTTCTGGATCTTCTGGGCAATCACAGGGTTCTTTAAGTGTCTAGAAAGGAGGAAGAAGGCATGACTGCCCAGAAGCCTGGAACCCAAAGCCTGCCCTGCCCGTCCCCACTCTCCAAGGTCTGCACAGAATCAGCGTCCCCCTGGACTTCGTTTAACCCCAACTCTTCCTTCCTAAGTACTATCGGACTCTGTGCTTATCAGCGACTGTCGCCAAGCCCCAGTCAGGGCGGGGCTTGTCACACCCCTCAGCCTGGGGGAGGAGCAGGACCAGGCCTCTTCACCCAGGCTCCATCCATTTGTTGTCAAAACACTCCAACTGTCAGAGAACTGGTTTCCTTTGTAACCTGATGAATTTTCTCTGATGCCTGTAAAGGCCTTCTAATCAAAACATTACTTTAATATTTCATTTTTTCCAATTACATGTAAAAATAATTTTTAGCCTTCATTTTATTCAATTCTGAGTTCCAAATTCTCTCCCCTCCCTTTTTGAGAAAGCATGCAATTTGATAAAGGTTATACATGTGCAGTCATGCAAAACATATTTCCATATTAGTCATGTTGTGAGACAGACCAAAGGAAATAAAAAAAAAAAAAACCCAGTCTGCTTTGGTCTGTAGAATCCATCAGTTTACAGGCCCTTTTCTGACAAGGGATTGCTGGGGTTTCCCAGACTGCCCTGGGGGTCCAGGCCAGCCTGGGTAGGGCTCTAGGATGCAGACAGGTCCTTCTCCCCAGCCCTCCTGACTTACTCGCTGAGCGCCTGCGGGTCCTTCTGCATCTGCTCCAGGATGAGCCGCATGGCCGGGTCACTCATGATCTGCTGCACCTCGGGGTCAGCCATGGCTCGCCGCTTCACGTCCTCAGGGTTATCGTGACGGTTGTACTGGGACATGACACATCGCTGGTAGCCATCTGCTGCCTCCTATGTTACCAGGAAGGGGAGAGAAGGACAGGCCATCAGCATCATGGACACGTGGAGCCACCAGCACTGGCTGGCTCATCCACCACGCAGGCCTGTAGTAACAGCGGATGGGACAGTAGGGAAGGAGGAAAGAGGAAAAGGAACAGAGCCAACAGGCCGGGGCTCATGAGTGCCAGGGGCAGGCCACAACCTTACAGTTGGAGTCCAGGTCTAGGGCCTTCTGGTAGACGTCCATAGCTTTCGTATAGTCCTTCATGGCTTCGAGAGCAGCCGCTTTCCGGGTGTACCCTTTGACTGTGGGTAGAAGGAAGGCAGATGGGGCGGGGCCAAAGGCCAGACCCTAAGGACACCCCTCCGGATGTGAAGCTCCCTACGTGAGCACCCCCCCCCACTGAGGCGGAGGGAGGAGGGAAGGACGTGATGACTCCCCCTCGTGCCATGCTGTGCCAGGGCTGGGGCACAAGCTGTCTCTAGCCTTGGCAGTTTATCTTTCAAGAGGAGCAAAGATATAACAAAGAAACAAGACAGGGACTGACCCGAGACCTCCCCCAAATGCAGCGGGAGCAGTACTCACTGAAGGATGGCTCCAGCTGGATGCATTCCTCACAGTCCTAAAGGGAGAAGGCCAAGGTGAAGGTAAGGACCAGCCTTACCGCCCCTAATGCCTCCCAGTGCAGGTCATACCAACTATATGACCTCACGGCCACGGGCTTCAGCTACTCTATCCGCGAGATCGGAATGCGCCCCACACCTGCCTCTGGGCCTGCCCCACGTGAGAGCAGTGGCTGCAGGGTCTCCCTGTCCTAGTCGGCAGGGTGGGCACGGAAAAAGGCCCTTCCCCTCACCAGAGAGATGAGGTGTTTGGTCTCGCCTTGTGCCTGTCGGCCTCCGTGGAGCCAGTAGAGAAAAGCATCTTCCGCGTTGTAGAACACAATGGAAGAGAGTGAGAGGCCGCCTGAGCATGCCTGGCACGTTTCAGATAAAGGGACACGATCGAGGATAACAGGCCTGCTCAGGCTATGTGTGCATGAGCCCCAAGGCATTCAAGTGGGGCGGAAAAGGGAAGGTTTTTGCTCCCCCTATGCGTTCTCCTCCCTCTCACACCCCCCCGACCCCTGACCTTGAGCGCCAGCTGGAACTCCAACAGCTTGGTGTAACAGGCTGCGCGGTTGCTATACAGCTTGGCATCCTTCGGGTTCCTTCTGATGGCTTCTGTATA